ATAAATATGAAACGATGTAGGAGTGAGAGAGAGAGAGAGAGAGAGAGAGAGAGAGAGAGCGAGCGAGAGAAAGAGAGAGAGAGAGAGAGAGAGAGAGAGAGAGAGAGAGAGAGAGAGAGAGAGAGAAGAAATGAAACATAAAGCATCACAGAGACACACAGTGTGACAGAGATGACATTATACAGTTTTAAATAGAGATACGCTACGTACACGCTACACATGGTACGTTTGTCGCTTGACGAGGTGATCCAGAAAGCTGCATGCTTATTTAGAGCACTCCAATATAGAAGAATCGAGGGTCAGCTCGTCTCTGCAACAAGTCGTACCGGTACATAACGTAGAAATATTATACATACGTTTTCTTTCTTTTTTTTTTTTTTTTTCTTTTTTTTTCCCCGAAGAATATTATTACTTATAAATACATCATTATATATATGAAGAGAGAACGAGAGTGAGCGAGAGAATTTTGACGAATGAATAGGAGACACTACTCAAAATGAAGAAGAGAGAGTTGTTTTTATATAGTTTTAATTGTGAAGAGAGGTAAATTAATGCGAGGATTCATGAACCAATATCTACGCACTTAATTACCATCTAGCCGGCGAACATGAAGCCTCCTTTCCCCCCCCTCTTTCTATGAGAAAGTATGTGGGTCCTGATGCTGTGGGATTACAAACAAAAAAAGAAACTCACATATTCATACATCGTTTTCAATTAATTGTTCTTATACGAATATTATATATATATATATAATATATATATAATATATATACATATACGTATATATTATATACATATTATATATAGAAGATCATTCTTTTTTCTTCTTTTTTTTTTATGGAAATGGCGCCAAAACACCTTCGTTTTACAATTACAAAAAAGAAGCAAACTGACAAAGAAAAAGCCACATAATGAAAATTGAAGATGGTGAAAACAGCAACATTAATATTATAATTAATAATAATTATAATAAATACAATATTTGTACAATAATCAACGGTGCTGTGGTGGATGCTGTAGGTCTAAATCTGCGATACCCTGTTAACCTATCCTGACCTATTTGTAAACAATTCGTGAACGTACAAACAAACGATCAGGAAATTTCGCGGGTGTATATTTTCTAAAATCATGACGGTGCCGATACGATTTCTTTTTTTTTTTTTTCTTTTTTTTTTCCTCCGATTTACTGTTCCGATTCAAAAGATAATAATGATGATGATATATATATAAATAATGAATTCTTAATGAGTTCCTAATGCCAAATATAACACATATTGTGATTATTACTTGTCTGTGTATCGTTTAAAAAAATATCCAAATGTAAGCCCTTAAATAACCAGGTGTTCGCACGAACGCTTTGCAAATTCGAGTCAGTCAGGAAGCAGAACTCTATTGAGAGTATTAACACTGTCGCAGTTTATTTTACATTTTCGCCGGTAAGCTCGAACCAAGTTGAATCACAGGTATTCGACAACATCGCGGTAAAACACGATTGTTATCGATAATCGATATTGAGCTGTGTCACGTTAGAGAGCCGCCATGGACTCTCATATGCCTGTTGAGATTACCGCTTTGACTAAACCTCAGCAAGCACAGCTTACATTGGTATGGTTTCTCGCCCGAGTGAATACGAAGATGTTTGGTTAACGTAGAACTATCCGAGAATGCTTTTTTGCAGAATCGACATCTGAAATAAAAGGGTTGCCAGGTAAATCGATCAATCGAATTCGCAAAATCCATTATGATATCGTTCAACGTAATTATTACGTTGACAATCGTTGACCTGGAAGTAATTTATATATAAGTTCAGAAAGAATGATAATTTTGTATAAATAGTGTCGTTCGAAAATTTTATACTTTTTTGCATGCAAAACAAGAATACAAATACTTCCAAGCAACGATATACATATACCGGTTCAAGTGGCATATGTAGAGTAAATAATCCATATAATGAGATAGAACACACCTATACGGACGTTCTCCTGAATGCGTTCTCATATGTGTAGTTACGGAACTGCTTTGTGAAAATCTTCGATCACACACTGGACATCGAAATGGTTTTTCTCCAGAATGAGTTCTTGCGTGGGCAGTTAAATTCGCAGCTTGACTGAATGCCTTTGAACACGCGTGACATCTAAAGAACATGTAAATCTTCAGACATTTTGTAAATATAAAATAATAACAAAATTATCGCACAAAAAGATTTGAATTTTACAGTTTCGTGAAAAGATCGTTTTGACAATTCGATCCGTTATATTCGTATATCGTTCAAACGACTATTTCGTCGTGACGTCATGTTCAAATACAAAATTTATTACAATCAAAAAAAATATTTTTATTTCTCATATACGGAGGTAGTAGTATTATTACGTCAACAATACTTATTGACGGTAGTAATAGATTTATATTAGTTCGTAATTCCTTCGTTTCGTTTAAAATTTAAGTACTGCAACTGCGCAAAACGACTTGTAGGAAAAAATGAATGTAAGTATTTTGTTAAACGAATTTGTGAACAAATTGTATCTGTAACTTTGAAACAAAGAAGAAGAAAAAAAAAAAGATATTAATCCCGCATTAAGCATGCATCATTTTTGAAGATCTGATTCTAATATCATCGAAGTTTCGAACCTAACCTAAAGTAGTGATGGGAATAACACCCTCGCAAACACTGTTCAAACAATTTAAGCGAGTATTTATGGTTCAAAGTATTTTTGATAACATTGATTAGAATAAACTTTTTATCAAGACTTGGAAGTATGTATGTAATTATCACATTTACTTGAACTTTTACATTAATCCTATTAACCCTGCAATAAAATAATAACATTATTCACTTTCAGATCCTATCCACTGTAATATTTACTGAAATCTAAATTGCTCCATACATGACGATCCATCGATGAAATTTACAAATGGCAGTATTTAATGTGAACGTAACGATAATGAAATAAATCTCTGTACAATCGCAAGTAAGATTTCTAATATCTATTATGTCTTATTTGATATATATATATTTTTCAGTCGATCTTTCCTTCCATGATGTTCCGTTATAACAAGATTCGAATTCCTATTGCAAGTTATTAAAATGGACTAAAACGACGAACTTTTATCGATTGAATTCTATCGAACGATAAAAGCGAAGCAGTCACACTACTAACCTAAACGGTTTCTCTCCAGAGTGCGTTCTAAGATGCGTTTTGAGGGTGCTGGGTCGCGCATACGACTTGCCGCAAATTCTGCAAAGGTTAGGTCTTCCATTGTCGTCGGGTGTGACTGGGTTCCCAGTGGCGCCTACACACAGAGCATGCTCACTGGACAATTGCAGTCTGGAATGGCCGTGCGTCGAGGGATGAGAATGTGGATGGGTACTGGTGCCGATCAGGCTATTGGCCGGGGGTTGATTCACCCTTGCCTGCTGCTCCACAGGATTATATTGCTGGGCGGGACTTAACAGGGGTTCCACGCCCCACGCGGACGAATAGCTTTGCTCGTATCTACGCATACAACCATGAACCTCTGAATAACTCTGCTTTTACACCCTCTTAGATGCGCACCCTCTTTCCCGACCAAAATGGTGACAGGCTGTCTCGCTTCAAAGAGAAACGTTACGAGTTGCTTTGCAATATGTCTCGAAATGGTAAGATAAAATTATATAAATAATATAAAATTGTAATGTAATATAATTATTAATAATTTAATGTAATATTAAATGTTATATAAATGAGATATTTAATAAGGATATAGAGTATGTTTTTTATCCCTTTTATTTGTTTTATTCATAAAATAAAAACACGGTTTTTTGAGAAATCTTTGTATGATAAAGGAAAAATGGAATTGTTGTTACCATAAATATAAAATGTTACGTATGTGATTAAGATGAATTCATCTCTTTCTATTTTCGCAATAGAATCAGGGAATATATAAAGCATCGCCTTACAATTCGTATGGCTTCCAATAAAGTGTCGATTTCTAGCAAACAGTTGCACTGCGAAAAACATTCGGAAAATGTTATTGTTCATCTCTGTATTTCTAGATACCGAGAAAGTCACTGGAATTTTAGAACCCGCTTTCTCAGGAATTTTAAAAATCTCAACAGAGATTGATGTTGCATATCTTTGAGAATGTATAACGAGAGAAAATTAGAAATTGTTCGCTTTGAACGATTATTAACAGCTATTTCCTAAGTGAAGCTCGATATCTTAAACCTACGTGAAGGAACAGTGTGAAAAATATTAATTAAATTGAAAATACCACGAATTTAAATTTATTTTTTCTATTACTGTCCTTTCGACAAGTTAAAAAATAAAAAAGTTAATTAATATAATTTGAAATAATTCGATTTTCTAATGATACTCACCCAGAGTGCATGTTCATGTTCATGGTCATATTCATGGAAACGTTCACAGACATGGCTGGCGTGGATGCGTAATGCGTAGGTGGGACAGGTGGGCCAAGATTTTGTGTATAATCCTGGGAATAATGATGGCTCGAACCTCCTGTGGAGTAGTATCCACCGGTAGGACTTCCGGGATGGACCACAGCATGTTTTAACGATAGTAATACATCTGCGACACCTTCCCCGTTCGTATTGCTCGTTCTTGGCGCACATTCTCCTCTGGTGCAACCCCAACTGCAAGGACACTTAAAAATTACAAGGTACATCGAATACAGCGTTACAGTCGTTTTTAAGCTAGTGTAAGTCGTGCCTCGTCATGTTCCTTTTGTTGTTTCTTCTCTTGAGAAACATTGTTTATCGAGTAGAATAATTGCAACTTTTTAAATAATACATACTCTTAAATTTTTTCCGATTGTCACTTGTGCACGAAAGTTGGTACAACTTGAAAGTGAAAACGAAATATTTCTGTTATAAATTCAGCTTTTTTTTCTTCGAAAGTGTCGTTTTCTAACATGGAGATATTATGATTTCATGTGTCGACGAAAAAAGAATTAAACTGTGCCTGAGATAATCTACAATATTAAATTAGTATTTATACTGATTTTTATAATTTAGAATATATATAGAAGTGATAAATTTTGTTTCTATTAATGAAACTTTTCGGTCTCGTGTGCAGTGGTACGGTTTCAAGTAGAAACGTCTAACATTAGTCAGACCCAAGCCTCGTTATATCGTTTGAACGAATTGTTAAAAGTTTTATAAAATAATTGGAAAGATTAACACTAATTTTTAATAATATATTCTACATGTTAAGAGATATTTCACAATTTTTGCAAAAATTAGGTAATTAGGTATCTTTAAACTTTATGAGTGAAACACGTATTAATAACGATTAATTTATTTTCCTTCAAAGTTAAGAGTACGATTTGTTAAAAATGCAAACAAGTCTAAACTTACAAATACTAGAATCTCTTTAATATATTTCTATTCTAGATTTATTCCTCTATTCGTCGAAATATTCACCAAAGGAAAGGAACAGAGATGTTTTTAAATTCTAAGAGAAAATCTTAATGCCAAGCAAAAAACTAAAATAAAACGAAGAGACATTTTTTGCGACTCACTTGTAGGTCCCCGAGCATGGACTGAAGAGACCAGGAGGTAAAGGATCCAAGTCCAGCGGCGGCAATGGAAAGCCAGCCATGTCGTCCACCCAGAAACTTGCCCCAAACTCGCTGACCACTTGGTTTTGTCCAGAGTTTTGGATCTGTTGCGTTTGATCGCCAGCAATGTCTTCCGGAGAATTTTGCAGATCCTGCAGACGGAGGGTACCCTGTAGAGCACCCAGTGTCTCTTCGTTTTGATTATCTGTTAAGGTGTCTTCGCTGGATAGGACACCCAGAGGCCCGGTGCACAGGCCGGAAGGTATGGTGGCCTCGATACTTCCTACCGAACCTGCGAATCGAAGAGACACGGTACGTCAAATGAAACGAGCAATACAAGTTAAAAAATTGGTAAATAGAATTTAAAGGAATGCGTGGTAACGGACGCATCTAACGTACGTGATACCCGTCGAGATTATCTAAATATCTAAACATGAAAGAAAACTAAACGGAGAGCGTCTAATTCCATCTTCAATTCTCCGTATCAAACTTATTCTAAGACGCTATCCTGAAGTTTCATACACGTACGTGTCTGGTACAAAAAACACAAGAGACAGACTCCTGGTCACACAAATGAGAATAAAGACACCTGACGTCTCAAAATGGCATACAAAGAGTATTAAAATATCTCAAAAACATAAACTACTACACTCATATCTAATGGCACCGTCGTCGCGAATGACCTCGCTGTCGATGCGACATTAAAAGAAAAATAGAAGAAGAAGAAGAAGAAGAAGAAGGAGAAGAAATGAGAATAAAGAGTAAATTGTCGAGAAACACTTCTAAATTCACTTTACTTAGGCATTTCTGAAATATTTGTCTTTCGTAGCAAGAACAAAATAAATCTTTTTATTGGTTCCTCGGTGTCTCAAGTCTCAATGTACGATATGTCTAATAACCAAAATTCTTTTTTCAGCCAGGAATATTGTGGCTCACCTGTGCCAAGGGTGTACGGCGGTTCGGAGGTGTTCACCGTGTGATGATTCTGCAGAAACTCCATCTCTGCGAAATTTCTGGTCGCAGCCGCCCTTAGAGACACCCCCTTCCCCCGCCTCTCGACAAAATACACGGACGGATTGCCTCCTCTCTGTAGAGATGTGGTCCAGCCCCTCTGGTCTCCCTAGCAACCGCACATTGCTCCGTGAGTATGACCGATTTCTTTATCAATATTTTTCGCGATATTTCCACCGCCGCCGCCGCCGCCGCCGCCGTCGGCATTTTCTTAATTATCGATTGAAAATGTTTTTTTTTTTTAATATTTTTTGATGCAGTATCTCAATATTTTCGCATTGTTCTGTTTAATCGTCGGTCTACCGTGCCGTCGAAGGTTCGTTTCTTATTTCGTTGTTCCCTTTCTTTTCGTTGTGTAATGTTTTGTGAAATGAATTTTGATTTAGCTTCCTCAAGATCACACGATTTGAGGAACTACAGAGCGGTGAATGACTTTCAGTTCAACTAAGTTCTGTCAGTTCTTAGATGTGTAGTGGTAATTTTTGAAGTGGAAGAACAAATAGAGTATTTAATCTGAGGATCTTTAGAAAGCATGTTTGTAAAAAGATTTCATCTTTTGTAAAGAACGATATTTCTCTTGGAGAATGATATTTTTCAATATGAAATGTCACATTTAGTTTAAGGAAGGAATTTTATTGCTACTAACTATCTGTTTCACTACGACAATTACAATGAATTATTGTATGTGATTTTCATCCGTTTTAAGGGTTGTCGTCCGATGTTTCTTCGAACATCTTCGAAGTTATTTAAGAAGTTCCGGCACTTCATTTATCGGTCGTGTAATATTGTTCGAAAAACGCGACGACATGATAAAAAAAAAAAAATCAGTGAATTTCATGAATGACTTTTTATGAATGGCTGAAAGGAAAATGCACGTGCATATGGACCGAGCGTATAGAAGTACCTTTATGGCTTGGAAGACCTGCCGGTCTCCTCTAAAGGCTTCTGCAGAAAATCTGCCAGATATTTTCATTCATAGCCTGAAAACCATGTGCATCTTCCCACGTGATTCGGGTCTCCATATTCGGCAGTTTGAATGATCACCACCTATTCCAAATTTCGCCAAATTTCGTCGAGTTTCTTTGGACAAAATAGTAGCTCTCTGCTCTCTTCACTTGTTCTTCTATCTTTTTCTTCTTCGACGTTTAACAATTACGAGGCATAACGAGGTATCCAGCGTTTGTTATAGTCAAAGTATATTAAAGATACTTTCCACTGAAATTTTTACGTTTAACGTAATTGTCTAAGGCATTGCTTTTGCACAATTCACACCGAACATTGAACAAACACGAACATCGTCACATAGTTCCTTAAAAGTTATCTTCCTCTGCGTTCTTCTTTCTGTTCTTGTACAGACTCTTTATTCTTTTCTCAGACATTTCTAATGTCTGTCCTATCCCAACAGAATTACATAAAATCTCTTTCATCACTGTTCACCTCTACGATTGAATCTTCAGTCTGATCTTGAAGCACAGAGAAGACATAATTGCACTACGTACACTGTTCCTCCTCTGCTGTGAAATATCCAAAGGAACATCCAAAGGAATCCAGAGGAAAGTTAACAAGTCGAATCACAAACTAGGTCGTATGTTCAGTTGAATCACACTCAAATTTCGTTTCTGACGTAAAGTGTTAAAGTTTATTGAAATTGTTGCAGCCGATATCAATCTCCCGGTAATAGAGAAAAGAAGAAGAAGAGGAAGAAGTTTCGAGGGACGACATCGCGCACTGCTGCCATCCACGATGGCTTGTCAATGTGTCTCGGCTAACTAGGGATCTACCACCTACTATCACTCACTCTCACCCCTTACACACTGACTGCTACTTCGACCCCACTCCACCATGGGCCGGCCTTTTCGTCGCTCTCTTTTTTCCTCCACCGCGTCTGACTTCGTTCCGTGTACGTACCATCTTCCTCTTCCTCTACCCCTACCCCCGAACGACGTTAACCTTCCGTCCATACTTCCACGGCAAGGTGTTTGCTAAGGAGATTTGCAGGACTTTTCAACTTTGCCCGTGGTTAAATGCGAACCGACGTGTTTTGCATTCGGTGATCTTTACCTATGGCGACTTTACTTTGTCAATGTTGTATCTGTTGTCGAAATCAACACATTTACTGCTGATCGAATTTCCAGTCCCTACAGTACATGCTAATGTCAGTCATTTTCGTACGTTGCTGACTATAGGCACAAGGCTACTTATTTAAACTTAATTACTTGTTGAAAAAAAACCCTCAAATTTCATCTAGTGTCTTACATTATAAAGCATAGATGATGAAAATGTCTTAACGACTTACATTTGCACACTATTCACTATACACAAGAGCACTCAAAGAAGAGAGAACAAAGTAAAATTTCCATTTACAATACAATCTGTTACACCGACCGTGGTACTTAGTACAACGTAGAAAAAGAATGCACGAAGGTTCTGATGAAAACGGGCAAAACGGCTGAGGAGGACGGAACGTAGAACGATTTGAACGATATCCATGTCCACGGGCGTGTAAAACGCAAGACGTTGGAGTACACGAGTTGGCCGTCGTCGATGCCGACGACACGGGATACCTATTAATCGTTCATTCGGCGATCGGTGATCGGTGATCGGAGGCCTCCTTCGAGCCTGGCTCGTCTCTGCTATACATCGATATCCCCGTTGCCAAGGCGGGACGGGGAAGTAGGATATTATTTTCTTCAGATACCATTACCACGCCGATCACGGTGGTCCTGCCTCGCAGACGAGTGGTCCCGATACCCTCGAGATCACTGGCTTGTAATGCCTTCCCTTTCGTGGATTATTGACCAGTGAACGGTGAGCCCGGCTGCGAAACACTCCGATGCTACCTACTCCACTTGCGACCCAGCTACAGCCACCCTTTTCGATCGCCGCCACCTTGGCAAATCGTTCCTCCGGAGTGGGAACACTCCACCAGAATAATTAGAGACAGGTATAAATTTTCTCAGGATACAAATCTCCGAATTCTGCGCAGCATGCACGTATATGTACGTTGTGCATAAGTCAGTGTTATTCTACGGTACTTTAATTCTTTGATACATACTACTTTTAGAAATATTCAAGTCAGTTTGTCAGTTATATTTGCAGCACTCGCGGTTTGTGAAAGTCAACTTTCTGTGAAACATTTTTCTATAATCGTTTTGTATGTTTCATTCTTTAAGAAATTTGTCTCTCGAGCAGGCTCGAGATGCTCATCGTTCAATTAGAAGTTTTTTTTCCTTTTTTTTTTTTCGCAAAGGTCTTTTACAAGGTTTCTTGCTTTATGCGCTTCGTCGAGATTGTTGCCCTATTCTTACGAGAAGTTCAGCTGGCTTTACCGATCGGGATGGCGTCAGTGTGACGTGAAACCTGTGGTTTAATTACATGTATGCGTTTAGCAGTACAAATATTTGTACGTTAAATTCATGTAACTGGATACCAGCATTAAGATCGTGTTTAAATACGAAGCCTCTGTATATCGTTGTTAAATTATTGCGGACGCCTGTTGTATTAGCTTCTCGACGCGCATTAGAATAATTATAAATGTTGTACGTCAAGTTTTGAGAAAAGTGAAACTTGTCGTTCGCATCACTAGAGACAGAAATCGGAATAGAAAAAATTTGAAATGAAAATAATATCCGTATCGAAAGTAGTATTCGTATTAGCTCGTGTTGATCTGGTTTTCTTATTCAGGTGCTTTTCAAATGTGTGTCTAAAACGTAAGCCTGCTCGAGGGACAAATCTTTTAAAAAATGAAGCATACAAAACGATTCCTGGATTATAGAAAAATGTTTCAGAGAAAGTTGATAGTGAAAAGTGTGTAATACTCCTTTCTTCCTTGATGAGCAACGAGAACGCGATGCTGCAAGAACCGCACTTCCGAATCGAAGGAAAAGATCAGTCAGCCGTTAGGTGGAAGGTGATCAGAATTGGAAAAAATGCAAAGTTCCTGATGGCTGAAAATGTCTCTCACGAGGCCAGGCGCATCCGACTATCGAATGTCTCGACATAATCGTGACCGTCAGGCCGGACACCTGACTACTGTAGTTCCGACATGGACACAGGAAGAGGAAGTCAACCGCACGGCACCGTTCTCGCGTCTACCGTGTGTCATCAACGTGAACCAACGAATCGACCAAGGATCGAGTTTACTTCCATCTCCTCGTTTCTACATAGCGTTGCGACCAATAGAATTGCAATGATAACGTGATAAAACGGAGAACAAAACTGTTAGGAGTTCAAAGTTAACGAGCAATTTTATATTGCCACCGTCGAATTCATATAAACCGGGGGTTCTGGCTAAGGCAAAGAAAATTCATATAATTGAAAAAGTATAGAAACAGGAAAGCCAACGCGAGGCATGGGAGCACGAAGTGGAGAAAGTGAGAAAGAAAAAAGCTGGGAGAGGTTGTAAGAAGGAAGAGAAGGGTCGCGTAGAAGAGCTCGCAGTACGCCGAGTGTATACCCTGGGTATTGGCTTACACTTCCAACCGATTGGACCCATGGTATTTACGCAGGACCCTGTAGAAAACCGGACTCCGCCCTCTGTCTTTCGACTGGTAACGCGCGATTCCACGGAACTATAACGTTTTCAACGAGCTCGAGGAGTTCCTTGCATCGTGACATTACGCCGGTTAGATCTGGCAGAGTGAATCACGATGACCATGGATGTTAGTGAGAAAGAACTGTGAGGTATAAAAACTGTGAAGTACTTGAAAGGAAAAATGTAAAAATAAATATAGCGATTGCAGGTGTCTGAGATGTTAAACAAACAATTTTGAAGCAATATACGGTAGCTGCAGCAAGTATTGGCACGTATTGTACCACGTATGTGCCAATACTTTTTATAGCCACTGTGAAAAATAAGGCAGACTCAAAAAATTAAGACAAAATAACAACGAGCAACGCTATTTTATTATATTCGTATATTATTATTCAGAATCCAAATTTTATCACATCAAAAGTACCGATGCTTGACAACAATACGCAGCCAAAAAATTTTTGCATCGAAACGTTCACACTCAATTTCCCAATCTCGAATCATTGATTCAAAGGCAGAGATAGCATCTATGGCAAGCGGAATCAGTTTTCCTACCCTGTTTGAGGGGGCATCGCGGCCAGCCACACCTGTGTTTACTCGCACCTGAAATCAAAGAGGCGATTACATTCTCGTGATCATTCTACCGGCAATATCGAGAGAAGCAAACACGTACTTATCGTACGTATGCACATCCGCATGTTAGGTGACCACGCGAGCCGGGCCGCATCGATGAACATCACTTATTTGATGAATGCCTGTCTCTTAAATACTTTCGGCAAACACTGATCAGTACGTAGGGAAATCTTAATAATAATAATTTATAATAGAACCAGTGAAATGAATATGTAAAAATATGGAGAATTTAATTCAATTAAATAATTAAATTGTTAATAATACAAGTAGATGATATAACATAATATTTAATTTATTAATTTCAATTTACCAATTGAATTATAATTTTATTTAGATTTTTTTAGAAAGTTTATTTGATCGAACGTGTCTAAATCCTAAAATTTACTCATACAAATTCTTTCTCAGTGTCCCATATTTTTAAAATGTCCCAAACTCAAGTTATACTCGTGACAATAAAATTTACAGTTCAACGTTTAGATCTATTTTCGTGCTATCACGTAACATCGCGCGGCAAATTTCCACTCTCGTATAAGAGATCACTATCGTAACCGGCAGTATAGGCCAATATACAGGGCAGGAAACGTGTTCATCGCCGCCGATTCAAAGTTGAATGATTAACCCTCATGATGAGATGACAGTGACGGTATTGTTCACGATCAAAAGTTCCTCCCACTGGTACCCATCTCCCTTCGCTAAAGTGATTGCGCATCGGATAATCTCCACCGCTAGGATAAACCGAGCTTTGAACGATCGAGATGTTACTAAATACGTCACGGCTGCTTAATTACATTTGCGGTGAACCACCTTTTTGCGGCTGGAGCAGCTTCCAGATATCGTATAATTGGTGGAGGATGGTCTTTAACGCGCGAGTTCATCTTGCAAGTCACAAAGAATCTTTGCTGATTCAATTGAAAAGTATTAATGAATGTATAGATACGCGAGCGCTAGAATTACCGATGAATGAAGTATAAAATTTGGAAAAAACTACATGTACGTGAAAGATGTACAAAGATGTTTAGTTTTAAAAGCAGATATCAGTATAATTTCATGGTGGATCATGCAATTCGCTTACGTCTCAATTGTTTTCTTTTTTTTTTTTTCAGAACAGCGTTGCCAGAAGATTTGCAAACATGGCCATCGTTTTAGTCGTTGAAAATCCCATCGGATGACAAGATAGCGATCGGATAGTGGCTTATTACGTTCTTTATTCGAGCAAAGATCTTTGGCGTATGCGGTGACGGTGGCGGCTGCCTGGCACGCGCCATATGTAATTTAATCGGCTATTTCGACGACGAGGAACAGACAAGAGGGGGGGGGGGGGCGGTCTGGAAAGTGGACAAGGTTTTAATCCTCGAGGAAACTGTTACGAACACGGGGCAGGCTCATGCTGCTCTCGCTAATCATCCTGGTGATTCTTACCTTGTTTTCTTAGCCGGCTACCATCGGCAGATGCTGGATCGCGCCTTTCTTCATCCCTTTCTCAAAATACGAAACTTGATACCAACCGTGGATGTTGCAGTCAAATTATCTCTTGCAACTGTGGTAAAAGTAGTCGTCGGTTTTTTTTTTTTTTTTTTTTTTTTTTTAATAAACAACGCAGAGAAAAAGTATGTAGCATGTCTTTATTTCATCCTTGCTACCATTTAAGACGTATCTATTAAAGAACGAATTTAATAAACATTCTTTCTTGTCAAGAATTAATCGATTCGAAACCACGAAGCTCTATAATTTAAATTTCTTGATAAATAAGCGTGTAAAGGTTCTAGGAATGCCATGGATATCCAGAGTCCGAGTATTAACGACAGTCGTTATAAAATGGCGAACAGGAAGAGGAGAAAAGTTTCGAACGCATCATTGAAACATCGAAGAGGAAGAAGAGGAGCGTCTAATTGCACCAGTATTCCGGAATTGCTTTAACGCATTAGCTCGAACGTCGCAGAGAAGTATACAACCCCCCAAGATGGCTGCTCCCGGGCGTATCGACGTTTGGCGTTTGCAGGGTTTCCCAGAGGTAAGCTCATCGGAAATTGTGGGTCTTCCCTCCCCTGGCATCGCCCCCGCCGCCTTTGCTGGCCCTTCAAAACAAAGAAACACACGTAATTAAATTTTTGTCCGGCACAAATTAATGTGCACGACACAGCACACTACCGCTCGCAGCTGCACCATTGCCAAAGGAAGTTTAATCCGCGATCCGGCTTTTAATCCAGCCTATCCTATGCTCGCGTCTTTTCTTTCTCTCCTTCTTCAATCATTTCACTTTCACCCGTACTCTTCACTCCTACATTTCCTTTTTTTTTTTTTCTTCTAAATATTTCTTATCTCAACTATTGGTATTTATTTTTTTGTTCGTATATTTTAATGTATCTTTTCAATAATCGGAAAGTGTTCTTGAGAGTTTCCAAGAAGGTATATGTAATAAGAGCAAAGATCAAGCAGTAAATTGGCATTAAAATGATTGACGTTGATAAGAAGTTATTTTCCACGAGTCGATAAGAGAGGAATCTATCTATTGATTAAAGTGACACGAAGATTGTCAATTATGGATGTAATTAGGTAATCTCATTTTTTTTTCTTTTGTACTTTTACACTTTGTTCGTTTCCATTCTCTGATTATCTTTTATCTTATTTATAATGTTCTGGAAATAATAGACACGAAGTAACAATGGGTATGTAGATAAAAAATTATATCTTTTCATATTTTTAGTTTTTGTTGTTATTGACCACGAGTGATTCTGTTGAGGTTAGAATTTTAACGGATACTTTTTCCAACGAACGGAAAATCACAAAATTGTCATTAATTTATGCTGTCTGAGTCAGTTTTTTTATTATCATTTTGATAGCTAGTTTATAATTATCTTAAATTATTATAATTTTATATTATTATCTTAAATATTTAATTTTGTATTATAAATAATTTGTAATCTTTGTTTGGTTGCATTGTCGTTTTATAAAAATTGCTTTGTTAATGTGTGCAAAAGTGATATTGAGAAGTAATAGTGTTCATATACAATATAAATAAATAAATGTTACATATTAATCAAAATAATGAAAGTGACATTTTTATATAGTAAAGAAAAATAAATAAGTAAAATGAATAAATAAACAGGCAATAAAAAGGAAATGTCAGGATATAAATACTCGAATAACATTTATTTATACTTTGTATCATTAAATAGCCACGTTTATTCATACAAAAATAGAATATTTGTTTAAAAATCTTTGTGGACAGCTGTACAAAACGCGTTAACTAGAATTTATTTACAAACGGACAAGTTCCTACATAAATTCACTAGAGTACAAAGTAACTTGTTTTCGTCCTTTCAGCTAATGCCAATTTTTGTGTCCTCCTTGTGAATGTCACGGAGATCCTGCGAACAGAAACCATTAGTATTGAAATGTACATTTGGTACATGCTCGTTGCAACATGCTTGTCCGTTTCATATTGAACCGGCAAAAAATGACAGGCGAACGTACATGTAACATCTGATAGTGGCCTCCTTTCACTTCGTGTTGCTCGGTTTGTTCGTAACTTTGAGTCGTCGTTAGATGTGCTGTACCGTTCGCATCTAACGGTCCAAAAGTCCAGCCACCTTCTCCGTCGAAGCGTAACAGCAGCTTATGATATTTCGCGAGAGATGCTACGCGATGCGTGATAGTTAACAACGTTATGCCTTTCCTTTTCACAGTTTCGTAAATCACTCCTTCAGCCTCGAGGCTCACGGCACTGGTGCATTCGTCCAACAGTGCATACTGCGGTGCGTGATAAAACAAACGCGTCATCGCGAGTCTTTGTTTTTCGCCACCAGACAAGGTGGAGTCCCAGTCGCCAAAAGCATCCAGTCCTTCCGGTTCTCTTTCTGCCAGACTTCGTAAATCAACCTCGTCTAACAATTTGAGGAGTTCTTCGTCCAAGCAGTCTTCTGTTTGAGACTCCGAGGGATATATAATTTGGTCACGTAAGCAACCAACCGTCATGTAAGGTTTTTGGGGAATATAAAACAGGGCGGGTCGTTCTCGTTTAGCAGAATAATTCTCTGTTGGTCTTATCAAAGTGCCTCCATACACTGGCCATAAGCCGGAGATTATACGAAACATTGAACTCTTCCCACAGCCATTGGGGCCAGTAATTAATATATGGTCTCCTGGTTTTATCTGCAAAAGTTAAAGCTGTAAAAGTAATCGTTCTTTTTGTGATTTAAAAATTCAGATGTACTTACATGAATAGTTAATTTAGGTACAATAACTTCACAGTTTGGTGTAACTATTGGCACATCGATTAAGCTTATACTGCCATCTGTGCTTTCACGTACAATCCCTGTTACATATATTATTTATGTATTATCAATGAGTATGCTCAAAATATTGTTATCTCATGTGTTCGTGAAAAATTACCTTTTATCACTGGTGCACCATCCTTCAATTCAATTATATTCTCTACAGCTAAATGAGTTGTATCATTTGCTATTCTCGATGGATTATTAACAATATTTCTTCTGTATTTACATAATGCAGCGTCTTTAAATACATCTAACATTTCACTAACTCGTGCTGCATATCCTGCTAATGCCACTAATTCCTATAGTACATAAAATTAATTTTACTTTCCAAGCAGTTTAATACGATGTAATTATAAATCTTACCTTATAGGACGACATGAGTCTTTCTACGGCATCTGCCCCAGAACTTAAAAGATTTTTAGAAGTAGTCAGGTATCGAGTTCTTTCACTCACTCCGCCTATTTATAAAGAAATAAACTTATTAATATCTTACATATTAGAAACTGAATTCTAAATTAGTATTTACGTACCATCACTATCATCTTTTAAAGCTGCACTTCCCGATGTGACTGTGGTATAAAGAAGAGGCATGGCAATAACTAAAAGTCCAGTGCCAGACCATACGTATTTCATGAGCAGTTGTTCCAATATCACGTACCAAAATTTAAGGGCTAACACTCTCTTTAAATGTGAAACAAGAGATCTGTAAGCAGTAGTTAAGTATCGATGTTCTGTACAGTGACCTCCATAGAATGCAATTTCTTCTGCATGAGCACTGATGCGAGCATGTGCCTCTCTTAATGTTCCACGTTTCGATGCTTCCTCAGCTACTAATTGGCCAAATTTAGGAGAAGCTAGACGTAGAATCTGTCCAGTTAGGGCAATAACCACAGATGACAGTAGTGGTCCTGTAACAATACAGTATAACAGTACAGTGAGACCTTGGGTACATATTGGTATGTCATTCAATTTGCTTTTCAAATGATCAAAGCCTCATTATTCATCTTACAACTTATTAATTGTATTACCATATATCCTTCTTGCTCCTCCCATCTTGGAAGAGAAAGAAATAAGCGCAATGCCGACTAATGCACAGTCTAACAATGGTTTGGTTAAACTTGAATATAAATGTGCCACAGAACTAGCCAGTTCAGACAAATCGTCAGTTAGCCTTTGTTCAGCACCTCCAAGTCTATTGTCTAATGCAGCTACTCTGTAGTAGGTCTGTTGACTTAGATACATTTTGTAAGCATGCTCCACCAGGCGCCCTCTTTAAAAACAAAAGAGCAAAACTTGACACTCGTTTGCGAATTTTGCGAAAATAACACAGACTACAAAATACGTCATTCGTGTAAATACCTAAAACTAAGAGCCAATCGTCCCTCTAGATATCGAATAGCCGAGTTAACGAACGTAGCAGGGAACGCTATAGCAAACCATCTCGCAAGCATCAAAGAAAATCCTCGAACGTCTCGCAAAACGATCCTCTTCACAATCTGACCTTCCAAAGTGGCCACATAGATCGATAAAAACGTCCTGGCTAACAATGTCAAAGTGGCGCAAGTGAGTAGTCCGGCTTCGCGCGTTCTCCATCCGGGAACCATGATCTTCAACAGCTCGATCAGCTGTTTGATGAACTCCCGGTCCAAGCCCACGCTTGGTTTCCCGGTTTTGTTACTCGACCTGCTACTTTTAGCCTTGCTACTGTCATTCTTCTGCCTGCTTCCCACTTGCACGCTGTTCTCGGCTTGTTTCTTCTTCTTTTGATATTGTTTCAGCGCGAAAGTCACCAGTGGATAACCGATCTTGATGAAGTAAAAAGTGGTCGCGACCCCGACTATACCGCGTATCAGTTGCTCCTGCCTGATACCGTATTTGGTGGACGTTTTGTTTATCAGTTTCGAAAGCACCAACGACATTCTGCCGAAGGCACGCTCTCATCGGAGCGTCTCGCGACGTAGAAAGTACTACGCGACGTCCGAACGTCGTTTTAATTGAAACGATTTGTTTCGACTCTTTGATCGTCAACGACGATGGTTACTCATTGTGGTGTTATCAGTGACGGCCACTTTCTCTTCTCCTCTCCTCGCGAGTGTGACTGCCAGCCAAACCACACGCGCTTTGTCGCTCTGTTGCGTGTGCACGTACGTAGCGCTGCGTACGTACGAAGGAAAAGAAAAAAAGAAGAGAAGGAAGGCACACGCACACACATACACGCACACGTTCTCTCTCTCTCTCTCTCTCTCTTTTTCTCTCCGGCCGAGACTGCTCGATCCACGTAGACCGGCTACCAGCTGGCGACTGCTCGTCACGTCTCTTGCAGACCGCCGCTACGTTCTCTTTTGGACCCTCTCCACTACAGCAGTTAAAACCCGTGACTAGTGGACTTATGTATGTCTACCGTTGAACTTGGATCCGAGCTCATAGATCGAAGTACGTCACTGGTTCTACCGAGCTATTGTCTTCACCAATACACTAGAACGTACACTTTTGGTTAGCTCCGTTAATTCCGTACCGATCTTAACCTAACGGGTCATTTTGTACACGACACTTTGGCAAGCAGACGATTGGCAACCACGGTGAAATACGACGGTGTAGCATTATCTACACGTACTACGTTGATGATGCTGCCATCCTTGATTCTTGTTGAATTGTTAACCGGAGTTTTGTGCCGAACCGATCAAGAGCATTCTTTTTCTCGATTTTATCTTTATCTGCCTCTCGAACAATAAAGATAATACGTTGCAAAAAAGATAATAAGTAATCGTAATTTCCAAGGTATATTTTTAAACGTAATTTTCTAATTTATATTAATTCATATATAGTACATATATTGTAATTTATATATATATGTTTCGAGTGTGGACGACACGTGTAGTTTTGATACGTTTTTTTTGGGGGGGAACTCCAACTTCGCAAAAGTAATAACAAGTATCTAACTTTGCAAATTTATTTATGAATTCATAAATAAATCTCGTAGCCCAAAATGTATGCGGTTCTGGGTGCGGCTATATCAATCGGTATTGTTTCTTAATGCCTTAATTTACGATCGGGCTGTATCGCTTCTATTTATAGCACACTTCGTTGGGATTGTGATTCTTGATTAAAGGGCTTTGTGAGGCTATTGACGCCTTTACGTGTGTAGATTATGAAAGATAGAGGTTTGAATGAGTAAATTCTGTTCTCGTATAGACAGTTGATAAACTATAATGTATAAACATTTCTTATATAACGGTACTCCAATTAAAAAGAAACAGTCTTTATTGCTTACTCTGTAATATTAATTTTAATTATTGATGTTCGAATGAAATGAAGATGTTTTTTTTATATCAGATTTTAATATTAGTCAATAGCAAGTACTTGTACATGAGTACATTGAAGGGAATTTGCCTTGCTTAAAACTTGAACACGTGGTACAGTTGCGGATCAAAGTGCCGCTATTTAACTGTATTTCCCTTCCTCTCTTTCCCTTTAGAGATAAGGTTGTGTATACGTATATATTAAACGTGTTATTAGCCAGTCTACAACGTGTCTTTCATATGTTACACACTTACTATATACGATTCTTTGTCTTTCTTCTTCGTAATCTTGTCTATACGATCTCTATGATCTCGTCTCCTCTTCCATTTGTTCTCCCTATTAATCGTGAATCTTCTTGTATGGTCAAGTGCGAAATGTCAGCGTCAGCTACGCCATTATTTCTCCGGAGTTTTTCGTTATTGTCTTCTGACTGAGTCTTATTTTAGGCACAGGCATTCCACGCAGAGTCTCGTAGTAGCTTTTTTAAGAAATGAAATCTAATAGTATAGATACGCGAATAGCTGGAAGGCTAGACTTGGATTATTATCATTCGTAATTGTAACGTGTTATAGTTATATTTCAATTTGGATATAGATTTTTATTTTCTTCTGTTCGTATGGCATACGTATACGGAGTAAGCTGTAGTATATGTAAACGGACGTAGTGTACAATGACCCCGGCATTCCATGAATCGACTTCATCTACATATGCTGCTTAAAGTAATTAAACGAGTCTCCTAATAATAATAATAAATGTTTCTTGTTTAAATATCATTCTTGCAGTATCGACGAAATGTTTGTTGTTTTCTAGATCAGCAAACATTTCTGGGTCAGTAGTGTCAACAGATATTAGTCTTCCATTACAGCTTGTAAATGTTCAATATTGAGTACTGAATTACATCTGTAATGCTAGAATGTTTATTCATACTTTTATTCGATTATATAACAGGTGTTATTAAAAAGTACTCCTTTAAAGAGTAGAGAAAAATTATTATTTAAAAAGTAATCATTGTTCAAGAAAATTCAGAATTAGATAAATTTCCAGTATCATTAATTAGAACTTGACAACTGATTTTCATCAACATTTAATTGCAATATTTTCGGGGCTAATCGTGTCCATCAGGAATTTTATCTTAATAATGTTTGATAAACACACGTCGGTGAGTCATTTGACCCCTGAGAAAGATGACTGTAACACTGGTGGGAAATGGAAAGGACATTTTGAACAAAAACTATTACTATCTACTTTCTACTTCTCGTTCTTTTCGGTTTCAATTGATATGAAAAATAAATCCAAGATATGAAATAAAAACAAGATATGAATTGCGCCGTACAATTCACAACTGATTATCGATTTTATTTATATAATTATCAATATATTGCAAATACTGTTATTGCTCCTAAATTTTCCATTGGTTTCCACACTTCCATTATTTATAATTATTTCTCATTTCTGATTCAAGAATGTTAGCATACTCGTTTTCAAGTTTATCGTTACTCGTTATCCATCTGTGTGATAAATCACATGTTGTAGAAAGTCCGGTTTGAAAGAAAGAAAAAGTTCCTTAAGCCAGCTTCAGCGGTCGCACAATGTCAATTTCAAGTTTTGTCTTCCTCGTGAGATAGGCTCGGCGTAGCAGCGGATCTCATGTGAAATATGAAGAATAATGAGGTCGGTGTTCTGCTCTGATTCGTATTACGCGATGCCGATATTTCCTGCATCGAGCGGCGTTGTTCTCTGCGATTTAAACGTTCGTGGAGGACAGGGTAGAGACGTAAAATGAAAGGCAGGAAAACGTTGAACTTCAGACGTACTTACAATTCATGACATAAATTGCAACTTGATTAATCTTTCATACGGTGAGGAATTTTTTCACATATTATTTACCGCAGCATTTACATATAATTTCTTTGATGCTATATGTTAAAATCTCGTATAATTCAGCACTCTTACACATAGAAATAAAGGTATTCGCCTTATAATACTTTTCGTAGCCACTTTTGTGTACGACAATAGCACGTTTATGATTTACGGTAAGGGTAAATGTACTTTTGCTTTTCGTCGAAGTTTATTTAACCACTTAACGCGTTCACGTAGCCCTGGCAATTTTCCTATTTTAGCCATTTATCTTTATCAGTTCAGCACACTGCTGCAGTGAATATATATATACTTTACGAAAGATATATACGCTCAATTTCACACTCAATTTCATTGTTCCGATTCTCTTATTTAGATTTGATTGAGCGTACATATTTAAAAAAAAAGGAAGGCAATGATAAGGTGTATCATGCATGTGGCATTAAAATTAACGCGTTGGAAGGAAAGAATTTCAATTCCATAATTTGCAATCTCACGATGATAAAGAATTAAATACACAGGAAGTAACTTACAATTAGTCCATTCTGTCTTTTGCAACCTAATTGAACAGTTGAAAGAGTGCCTAACGTGTTTGGAAAATAATTTTCAAGTTGAAAGCTAATTTCAATCCATCGAACGTGAAAAGTTATATTTTTTTTTTTTTAGTTTGTCTTGATTTTTGAAATGTTTCACAATAATATTTTTCATTCGTATAGATGTACCTTTATAGTGTGGCAGTTACATTAAACATTAAGTTTAGTTTAGTAAATTAAATAAAATTAATTCAGTTTAATTTTAATTTATTTAATTTATTTAATTTATTATTTTTATTTAATTTTAATTCAATTTAATTAGATAAAATAAGATTTAATTAAATTTAAATTAAATTTAGAAGTTAAAATGTGGCAGTTACATTAAACATTAAATTAAATTAAATTTAATTAAATAAAATTGATTCGATTTAATTTCAATTCATTTCATTTATTTAATTTATTATTTTAATTTAATTTTAATTCAATTTAATTAGATGAAATAAGATTTAATTAAATTTAAATTAAATTTAGAAGTTAAAATGTGGCAGTTACATTAAACATTATGTTCTGGCGCAGAACAGAACCCTCCAAGGCGTCAGCCAGGTCAATTCCTAAGAAGCCTCGATCCTGCCCAAATGTCCTGTCATACTCTCATCTAAGGACACTTTCTCTGGCCTTGGAGAGAGAGAGACAGGATGTGGAAGGACTCGGTAGGGCAGAAACAAAGCCCAGCCTAGGAAACAAAGCGCCTTGGCCGGCGCCAGGAAGTCTCGTACCATTTTCTAAAAAGTCACGTAGATTCAGGCAGCACAGAGCAAGAGTCAGTCACAAGCAGTTAGTCAATCAGAGGAGTGACTCCGCATCAGTCACGAGGAGAGCTTAGCGTGCCTTCTTCCGACTCGTAACACACATTCATTACAATCAACAGTTGTACAATAGCGAAATATAAGTATTTTATTCTACATCTCGTCCTCATTCATAAAAACATCTCTCCGGCGGCTGTAAAAGGCACGACGAGAGAAAGCCCAACGAAGCGGATAGCAGCTATCGTTCACCGTTCGCGCTGCGCCGTAACACATTAAATTTAGTTTAGTTAAATTAAATTAATTCAATTTAATTTCAATTAATTTTATTTATTTAATTTATTATTTTAATTTAATTAAATAGAATAAGATTTAATTCAATTTAAATTAAATTCAGATGTTAAAGTGTGGCAGTTACATTAAACATTAAGTTTAGTTTAGTTAGATTTAATTAAATTTAATTTAGAAGTTAAAATGTGCAAGCAAATGAAGTCAGTAAGATCGACGCAAGGCTGGATAAGACTGAAGGAAAATCCACCAAAGTTACTCGTACGTGCATTTGCGAAATCATCATATTTGCGTATCTATAATTTATTATGGAGAGGGGGAGGGTATAATTGGCAGCTTTCAAAAATAACATTATTACAAGTCTACAAAAAAAAAAAGTCTGTTCGGCTGGCTGGTCCTTGGATGACTGCTGTCGCGAATGATGTCGAAACGAAACGTGTTCATCGTAACGAATCGTGTTCATCTGTACGAATGAAAAAGAATTTTGAAAGAGATGGCCAAGTCTCGGGACAGGACGAGAGCGAAAGCGGGCTCCTTTCGGCTTTTACCAGCCTCGCGTACGCTGTTTTGCGTTTCGTACAGAACAGAGAAAGTAAAAGTGAGCCATCGCGGCGTTATGTGTATACAGTGAGCAGGTTTCTTCCATCATTCGCTTTCGTTCTCTCTGAATGTTCGCGTTTAATGAGCAGGCCGGAGTCCTTTGCATCTTTCGACTAAGTTTTTACGATCGTTTCAGTTGAACACGAATAATTACAAATCTCGATTTATTAGCCAAAGCGAAACGTGGCTTTTGTTCTCTCAGGATTTTTATTACTTGTAGAATAAAAAAAGAGGTATTCTTTTAGGACTTGTTCTTTGTTGAGAATTTCCTGGATGTATTGCCTATTTATTTGAATGTTTATTATAATTTAATGCATGCATACTTAACATCCATACTGTTCTTTCTTTTTTTTTTTTTTTAAACTGGCAATATGTTTCGTTTTAAGTATTTTTTGTACCAAGACTTCTGTGAATTCTTATGAAATATTATATAAAGGATGTAGTAAGCACAGAGCTACAGAGATATTTTCTAACTACTACTACGTATTTACTTTTTTCTAAATTTTTCTAAATATTTATTTTGCAATAATTCGGTATAGAATTGCCAAATTTATAGCCATCATTTCGTAAGCTCGGAACTGTTAATTATTTCTATTTTCAACTGAAGCACTTGGGCACGTAAAAAAATTTCCATTTCTCGATGAAATTTCAAAGTAAGATGAAATAACTTTCATTTACAATTACAATTAATCGCTTAATAATAATTTCAAATAACAATTTTTAATTAATTCACTAAAAGATTATTTTTAAATATCTATAAATACGTTAAGTAAGAGAAAAAAGAAGGAAGAAAAAGTTAGATTTATTTTCCACTTGTACTTTATTCATTGCTTGATCGTATCATTAAACATCAAAACATATAAATCTCGATCATAGATAGGTGTCAGCAGATATTATTTTATTGCGATTAAATTGTGAGAATGCACAAGACAAATACATCATTTTGTAACTCGTGGTAGCGAAACATACAAATAAGGCAATGATAAAATGTAAAGCAGTATATGCCGAATAATAAAATAGAAACGACATTGTAAAGCAAAACAATTAAACGAGCTGACAAGTTAACATTTGGTGGCATAAAGTTGTTCGTCATGCAAGAAGATAAAAAATTGTTTACGATAAACTGTTTTAATTTAAAATAGAAGGAAGGAAAAAATTGCGACGTGACGTGATTGCAACGAAGATTGATAAAAAGCAAAAATAACGAAACCAGAGAGAAAAATAATACATATTCGACGAGAGAATTCCAAGAAAAGTTTACTTAGTAATACGTGCCTTCAATTAAAAAATCGGTGGAAAATGCAATGCGACTCGCACGAACAAAGTAATTACGACAATAATATTCAGAATATGCTAATATAAAATGCTTTTCATAAAATACTTTTTACTTATCGTTCTTTTTCATTTCTCGAAAGTTCAGACTCTTTTTTCCTGAATTCGTTCAACTACAAAACATTGCAAGATCGTAGTTAGAAAAATAAATAACACGTTGCGCACGTAGTTAGCTGTGTTTTTTGCGTCGAGTATCATTAAAATTGCCGCGATTTATTAGTAAATAGATAAATTTCTTTCTTCATCAAAGAAAAAAAAAAAAACTCTTCTACGAAGGAATTCATCTTACGAATAGCGTCCGAAGAAAATAATGCCAATAAAATTGAATTTCTAAATTGTTGTCAATCTAGTCTTCAAAAAATGACTACTTGCTCCAAAGAAATTGTAAATCGCAGAATGATCGACGTCGATTTACATCCGAATAAAATCATCGTCGTCGAGCTCGTAATTTCATCTGAATTCTCTGTTTCCTCTTTGCTGGAAAGTAAACGTTTTAGGAGAGAGCCACTCCGAGTTGCTCGCTCCAGTCGGCCAGTGTGGCTGGCTGTGGAACTTTGAAACTTGAGTGGGATATGATCTTTGACACCGTTCCGATACGTTTTGATATCGTGAGTGCCTATTGCGAATCGACGCCTATGTCACGCTATAACTCTTGAGTTTCCTCTAGATTTTCGACGTGTGACACACAGTACTTAAATCAATGACAAAACACACACCTCTGTTGATTAACCAATTTCATCCATTTTTTTTTTTTTTTTTTATTTTTTATTTCGTTCTCTTTCTACTTACCTAGTCGGACAATGTTCTATGTACAAGAAGTTTCACACTTATTAAACAACTATGGTAGACGAGCCGCCGGTAAATACGCTTTTACAAAACTTTGGTCCTTTCGCTGTGGCGCGTGTGTGCCAGGTGAAAATCTCGCCGCCTCGGTACACCTGAAATCTCTCTTCTGCGAGGCGGACGGATTTCGCAACGAATTTTTATCGCGCTACGAATCGGATCTAATATCCGAAAAGTGTTTTCGATGAACATTAGGCAACCGCGACCGCTCTGGTTACATCGCATGACTACCTTCGCAGTTTCTCCTTTTATATTTCGCGTGTCTTTTGTCTGACTTCTTTTTTCTTTTTCTTTTTTTCTTTTCTTTTTAGCCCGGTTTCCTCTGTCAGATTTCGCTGCTGGTTTGCCCAAATCACCGGAAAGTATAACTGTCCCCCCCCCCCCCCCCCCCNGCTGTGGTGTCTGGTTGCAAAATCCATCCAGCCCTTGCACGCGTGGATGCTTTTTCTTCTTTTTTTTTTTCTTTTTTTTTTTCAACGACCGGTGTTCAGATTTCCTTGAAACGTGTGTCGAATTGCGTGCAACAATTCTTAGGCCTTTGGTAGATTTCATAGGAAATTGTTATCGTTATTCATTCGTTATTCTACAATCCAATGGCCATTTATTGTCGGTGTGAGTCAATCAAAAATTTTATACAAAGGTAAATTGCTTAAATGTAAAATCGTTGGGCAATCATTTTTTTGCGAAAGGGATTGAGTTCGTAATTACGTGTACTCGTTGATTTACAAATTAAAAATGTCGTCATTGAGATAGCAAGGAATTGCAAGAAGTAATGAGATATACGATGGATTAAAATCAATCTTGGCCAATATATTTTTGTATTATTTTAACCGCTCAGATATCTTTGTGCCAATGGCAAAGTTGATCGATCGACGGGTATCACGTCGCATAAATATTTCTACGCGTATGTATCTATGTATCTAATCTAACATAAATGCGATGTAAATGTAAATCATTTCTGTCATTAACTACCGATTTATCATACTAGTAGGAACGGTAACAAAAAAACGATGAAAATAATATGAATAACATTAACATTTGGTAGCAAGCATTTGAATATTTAAGTTCGAGGTTTAACATAAATTTAACATAAAATATTCGTGAATAGTTTGCTGATTGAAGACGCGACATATGCAAGAGAAAATAACATTTCAGCGAGGGCAATTAATTTCTTCTAAAACTGTTAGAGTATTCTACGGCTAAAGAATAAATTTCTCGGCATGTAAATGTTTATCAGACGTTTGAACGATGATAACAATTTTTAAAACAATTAAAAAGAACAGCAATTGCGTCAACGGAAAATACAATTTCATTCGTAATTTCCTTTTCGGACAATTTTGAGGACTTGCTCAAATATTCTTCTCTTGCTGCTATTTTTTTTTTCTATCTGCGTTGCTGTTCATTCGAAGTACCATAATTATCACGATTCGGACTTACTATTACAGGTGTTTTGCTCTAAAAAAATAAATGTCTTTCAATTCAAAAATGTTGCATTTACGCAACTTTTCAAACAATGTTTCACTTAAGGTTCGTAGCAGTTGTTAAAAATAAGGAAAGTGGAAGGCAAGACAGCTATTTGTCAGATCACTATCTTCCCATGACGAAGAGCAACGTTCACACGTGGCCATGTTGGTCCAAAGTACGGAACCCGGCTGTACAAGAACATTCGTTAATCCATTGCGTTCGTGGAACACATTTCAAACGCTATTTTCTGCAACAAGGAAATTTAATTTCTGTCATTTTTAGCGAGGTCAGATATTATCTAACAGATGAACAGAGAAATTAATTTGCATGTTGTGTATTAAACTGATTTCGTATAAATATGTATATCTAGAAGGTTGGAACCATATTTAGAATACCACTTGATACTTATTATACATATGAAAAATGATTGACTTCGTATCTTTTTTATGTAAACGAATATTAACACTGAGACATTTACGTAACTGGAAATCTATTGATACTTAGAGTGAGATATATTTAAATAACAAATTATTCTAATAACTCTTTTGACTCACTGGAGATTTTAATGTTTTCAGAGTGACTCGTTCTTATTATAAGAACAAGTATACGATGACACGATAGAATAAAATGTCAACAAGAATCTGAATCAGCAATCAAACACGTCACAATACAATTTACGTCTAGTGTTGTTAAAACTTTGATTATCTATTACGTAGGGATTATTCCTTTTATTTATCATGAATTTCTCTAGGACATAAATATTGCAAGATAAATGAAAATATAAGCTAAAGAAATATTTGAATAATATCTAGATAAAAAAAAGAAAAAAATCAAAATCACAGTAATGCGATACAAAAATGATATTATCAAACCTAATGATACATACATACAAGAGTGATTTAAAATCAACGATTGGCAAGCATAGTACCTCATCCATGTCTCCCACTGATATCATCCTAGTCCACTGTTATCAATTATCACTGTCTTTTGTGTCTTCAGCCTCAATACATGGGGGAACCAGCATGTTCAACCAACGTCGAATGATTATCGTCCACTTGGTTGTGAATGAATCTCGACGATAGTTTATCGGATAGTCTGTCCGATATGGATTTATTGCCAGGCTTAAACGCACCGTTCGTACCTTGCGGATACGAGGGCAACGCTTCCAAAATTCGAGGAGGATTCCGTTTTATCGTTTGAGAGCTCTTACTGTTCGTCGAGTTTTCCTCCAACATCCAACCTGGCCTGCTAATTCGTCCGGTTGGCAGACGTTGAGTCAGCTTGTAGCTGTCCAAGTCGCCGATCACAGGCGCGCTACTTTGTAGATTTAGGGCATTCAGTTGAAGATGATTGCCTCCAAACGGGATGGCATCCTCGGAACCGCCCGACTTGCTGAGCCGACTATACTGCTCTGCGAACACGCATTAGGATTGTTAATTTTCTTAAAATTTTTGCCAATTTAAAGTAAGTGCAAAGTCTCTCGTAAAAGTTTCAGACCTTACCGAAGGTCTTTGCTTCTCTGACGTGAGCCAGCAATTTGTCGATCCTATTCCGCCGGAAGTACGTGTCAACGATGTCTGGTTTCTTCACATCTTCCTGCTCGCTGCTCTCCTCGTTGTCAGCCTCGTTGCCAATCTCATCCTCGTTGTCCTTGTTATTGCTATTGTTGTTCAGATCGGGTTTGGAAGCCATGATGTTGTACTGTATACCGTCTTTAGGCACCAACGACGCCGGAGGAAGAGAAATGTGCGGCGACACATCCGGCAATCTCCAACGACCGAGCTCGTCGCACCAAGTAGCCGCGGCTCTCACGCTAGCAACGTCGCGAAACGGACAGCCTGGCCGAAGATGGGGAACCATCGCGTCGCATATCTGAGAGGTGAGCAGCTCTCTTCGCAAAAGGTCACGTCGCTCCGCGTCCCAGGAAGCCTGAAGATCGGCTGCTTCCGCTTCCAGTTGCTTCGCTCGTTTCGCCATTCGCTTCAGCGCGTCTTCTGTTGATCTACGACGCAAGGATACGACAGTTTTTAAGCGAGTATAATTCCTTTTAGTTAGCAAAGAAGAGTTAGTTTAAATGAAGAAGAAAAATTCCGTCTAAGCACCAACCTAAGTTGACCATAGACTTGGAAGACACTTCCATTTCCTTCCTGAGCGCTGGTCTCCAAGGCCGAAGCAAGAGCCTCCAGCTTCTTCCTCCTTTTCTCCCTACGTCTTCTCAGTTCAGCGTTCCCTTGCTCCTCTCCTCCTATAGTTAACTTCTCCAGCCTCTTCAACACCTCTTGCATGGCCGCCTCCCGTTTCTTTCTTCGTCTTTCCTCGCGTTCCAGGTCCTGCTCGTCCATCGGCTGTTGAGGAACGAGCTTCGGCCTCGCGTTACTCACGGTGCCAGTTTCGTAGCGAACCTTCAGCGCTTCCAGTTCCTCTCGAAGCTTCTGAGCAGACAGATTCGAGTTTTCACATTCCTTCTTCAGTCTGTCTACTTCCTCGGTGTATCTTTTTTGCTTGACACTCTGCTCGTTCCAGGTCGACTCCTCTGTCACGGGGATCTCCTTCACGAGTGACTGATCGCTCGACTCGAGCAGCTTCCTCAGACGTTGCAGCTCCAGTTGATACTGCCTCAGCAAAGCGTCCTTTGGATCCTCGTTGATCACGGGCTTGTTCTTGATGCATCGTGCTCTGGCCGCGTATCGCAACGTGCTCAGAGTTTCTTCAGCATCCACGTCGCTGGGACTTACGCAGGCTATCATTAGAGTTCTTGCGTTCCCACCGAGGCTGTCTCTTAGTAACCTGGTTAGCTTGCTGTCTCTGCACACAGGGAATGTTGAAAGAAAAAAAAAAAAAAAGAAAAAAAGAATTTAGCAATTGTGCGATCGACGGTGTACTTTTAAATCCATACCTGTACGGCACATGCCTCCCATGACCAGCAGCCAAAGCGCTGATCACGTTCCCCAGCGCGGAAAGGCTTAAATTAATGCTAGCTGCCTCTTTCAGTCTATCTCCGGTGGCACCGGTCCTCGCTTGCCTCTCGGACCCAGCTAGATCCACCAGATGAAGCCTACCTCTCTTCACCGTGTTCTCAGTCTTACTGTTCTCCTCGTTGATGGCCAGCGTTTCCAACGACAAGGTCAGCACCGCGTGACTCCTCGAACTGGCCGCGTTCATTTTAGTCGCCGCAGCCGCTCTTCTTCTGTCGCCTTGCTCGACCAGTCGGGCGCACTCGGCCGCGTCTTTCACCGTGACCTCCCTTAAACCTCCAGCCACGTAAGTCCCGCGGTTCGGGTCCTCCTTCAAGGTCAGCATGTCGCTCGCGCCATCCTGCAGGAGGTCTCTCAATCGTTCGTTGTAGATCTCCAGGTAACTGAGCAAGGCCAGGTATCGCATTTGCGCGCTGGCCGTCGACGTGGCCTCGAAGATGTGGTCCAAGGCCCGTTCGATGAATCCTCGCATCGTGTGCGACTTCCCGCAGCCTGTTTGCCCGTAGGCGAACACGGTGCCGTTGTAGCCGTCCAATACAGCCTCCACGATGACCGAGCCAACGTTCTCGTAGACGGATTCCGTGGTTGATTGCGGGTCGAAGGCGGCGTCGAACTGATACACCTTGCCGTTTCCGGCTCCACCGGCTGCTGGACATTCGAGTGTGCAACATTTCGACGCAGGATCGATTGTCACCACGTTCTACGGAGATGAAAGAGAATCAGTAAGTGAATCACGCTGTAAATGAATTGATATTCTTTTCAGTTTGAAGAAGCGAGCATCGCTTGTTGAAACTGTAAAATTTAATTTGGGGTATTCAAAACGTTGTATAACTTTTGTTTCATCAATGTTCGGTTTGATGATAATTAAGTTTGTCTGACTTGAAATATAGGTTCTCATAGGTTTACAATTTATTTTTTCTTTTTTGAGTCGAGGCCTTGTACGATGTTTTAAATCATGTTCTTCGTATATTCGTATAATTCGTACATAAACGTTGACGCAGCAGCATAAATTGAGAGTATCTCGTCTTTCAGATCAGTCGTCGTTACCTTTTCATGGCTCGTCAATTAAACGACAGAGAGGTCTTGTAATTTAAGAATAATTCGCATTGGAACGAATGCGAAATACATTTATCGCACATTTTTATCACTTTTCTACAAAAATCAGTCGTTTGATCAATAAGAAATGTTGTGTAACACTGTGAACGTATTAAGCATAAACGTGGCTGTTATTTGCAACGTCAGCTTAGCAATAGTTTATACTGTTATCGATTCAATTTCGCAGAAATAGTAATGAAACGCAATTGCGACTTCTTTTTGTCGAACAGAGCTTCTCATTAGAGATCGTCACCCTATACGTTGCTGCTGTATTTTAAAAGAGCACTATAAAATATTTTTCATTTATCTGTACAATTTCATTTTATTTCATTTGCCATGCGATTTCACTTTCAAAGATCTAGTTCAACTTTCAATTGCTATTTCACGTGACCTAATAATTCTCTCTTCTATTTTCCCGTATATATTTATGTTTCTACGTGCCATAAAATTATTGGACGATCCACGCTTTCACGTAAAAAGTGTAAAAAGGCAAAGATCTAATTAGAACAGAGGAGAACCTATATTCCCGTCCGTTAACTTGAAATCCCTCTCCACTTTCATCGTACGTCCATCAACGTACGCCGTGGCTACGTATCACGGAGCATCGTGCACCCGTAAGTCGTCATTAAATTTACTATTCCATAATATATTCAAAAGGTAATGTAGGCACGCTAAGCTGATCGGTGCATACACGATGCATAGATAGCGTAGGTATCGAACCGTGTCGTTGCACACATCCTTTTACATACGTGCAAATATAGTTTATACGTACGTATTCACGTGCTTATCGATGGAGTGGAATATATGCCAAATCGATGGTGAGCCACAGTTTATTTCTTCCTTGTTTCTTTTCCTCTCTTTTCACGTACGTGCATGACGACACACGTGGTTGACACACTGCCACACGGGGTAACACGTGCACGCTACGTGCCGGCAGAACTTTTACGTACGTACGAAGATACTTACGAGCGTGTGATCACGGTAGATACGCTATCGTTCATAAGTATGCGGACACATTAGTTTCACTCGTACAATAACAATGATTCGCTGTTTCTTTAGATTCGTTTGGCTTGTACAGGATAGAAAGAAAATAGAGTGCATCAACAAATTAAGCAAAAGCAGGTTTCTCTATTTTATTTTCGCTGTGTCAAATTCATTTCTGATCGATATTTCTCTTACGAAGCAGAAAAAAGAAAGTTTCAGATTAAAGGTATCCAAATCAAAAAAAGAATACTAAAAACTCAAGTATATATATTCAAGTAAATATAACTATTATTGCAGAAGAAAAAGAAAAGAACCTTGTATTATTACATCGTATGAAAAGCTGTAACCAGTCTGGAAAATCATTTCAAGTATTGTGTATATAAAAAGACAAATTGCTCCAACGTGTTAAAAAATTCATTTGCTTAAACAAATCATTACAAGACAAGTTTGTAAACAACGTAATTATCCAATAGCCATAACTAGTCATGAGAACGACGTTAAAAAGAAGCTGTGAACTCGAACATTACGAAATTACGTACAAATTATTATACAAATGGAGAGATCTTCAAGACTAATGAACAAACTTCGTCCGCTTCAGTCAAGCTCAAACGTTAACTCATTCGTTACATGAACTTGGACAAAAAGTAAAGACTCGCGGAGGATCGTTCGGTAAGAAATTTTCCAGTGGAAAAAAAAAAAAAAAGAAAAATTGCAGCGTCGGTGCATGCCGGTTTGCGTGTTTTGACCTAGTCGCTAGGCTACAACGCGCTCGATAGAACAATGACAAGTTTTTCTATATACTTTCGTTACGAATAAACAAAAGCGAGAGGTGCACTGTATTGGCCGACAATGTCCACATGATGCATGCGGCGTGAAATTCAGAAGTGTGCGCTGCTGTGTGTATGTGTGTGTGTGTGTTCATCCAGTTTGTCTGTATGAACGTACCCTGCATCCCTGTTGCAACTCGCGAGCGTTCATCGGTCGGCATCTCACCGCCACCTTCACCGACTCGCTCATCTAAAAATAAATGAATCTAGATTAGAGGGATGGTGGGAGACTTTGCCAGATGCTGCCTTCAGCCTTTGCTCTGCCAGATCGTTCTGGGAAAGATGCATACATAATTGTACAATCGAAAAGCTCAGAACTGGCGTTTGTAGTTGGCGTCAATTTTCATTCTAACAATAAGTATAAAGCTGAGAAGATTTTTCTCTTTGATTCAAGTTACGAGTAACATGAGTTCCTCTTGTCACCGAATTTTTATCCAGCAATCTGAGCTACGTTCCCATATATATAAATATTATGGACAATTTTCACTAGAAAATCGTTATCGCCGCTTCAATTGATTCTTTTGCCATTTTAAGCACAAGTGATTCGTACAATTGTCGATATCACTGCCATCGACGCAAGTCGATATCGTGTTTCACAAGAGCAGGTTGCGTTTTGCTCAAGTATTCCATTCATGTGCCAATGGAATGTGTGTGTTGCCCTTGAACCCGGTTACGCGTTGAATCACCCCGAATTATAGCGTGTCCCAGCCTTACACCCATCTCTGTGTACGCGATCAGCCTTCGTAGTATTGTATTTAAATGTGAAATGACCGAATGTTGCTCGATCGAGAGCAACGAGGATTAACAATTTTCACAAATTCGAGAACGTATGATTGCAGGTACTTGTGTGTACTTTATAAAAACGTACAAAATATGAATTAATTTCAGTACAGAATTAACCTATGACCTTCAACTTTAAGTATCAGTCGAACGGTCAAGATTCATGTTATTTCTTGTGGCATAAAATGAATAATAAATAGACTAGAAATAGACGTGTTCACAAATGAATTGGATGAGTCATACGTCTGTAGACCGGTTTTTTTTTTAATGAATTAATAGATTATCATTTTTGCGTAAATATAATTAACAGCTCTTACGAACTCTTGAAGATCAACTCTCAAATTTTATCTCGGACGTTATTAATATAAAACATAAAGGCGAAATGTAAATCAAATTAAACACAATTAGGTCAAGTGCAGGAGATTCGTAAATGCGTGTGGGTAATATCAATCATATACGTTGATGCACTGGTATAAAGAAAAGATTGTATTAGTTTAAAAAGTACAAAAGCAACAATTTGTAATTTATATGTCATAGTATGCGGAGGATGAGATAGAAACGATTAGCTATAAGCCTAACATACGTATAATGTATTATACATTCTTTACGTTTTGTATTTGCATAGATGAATTCTGATTACAAAGCATAGATAAGAAGATGGCCTTGTAACCGAGTAAATTGCGATTTTATCTAATAAAAGGAAAATTTAGATTCACCGTAATCAGATTTATATAACATTTCGTTCGGTTTATATTTTATACAAACTTTTTTCGCTTGTTATCTTTATTAAATATACTTTAATATAATATACTTAATAAAATTAAGTATAATATACTTTATTAAATGTACTTCGTTGAACTTTATAAAATTTACAAGTTCTGCAAGTGTTTTAACTTCATCTTACAACGTTGTCTACGCGTGCAAGTATTTATTATATTCAATTTCAAATATATATTCAGAGTTTTTCTTAGATAATATGAATTGGCTATAAATATATACGTATTCAAAATACAATAGAACAATTAAAATGTCAGCAAACAATCACAAACAATTCATAATGATTCTGAAGTTTTATAGAAAGTTAAGGTTAATAAAATTAAAGTCTTACTCACTTCAATAAGCGTATTTTCTTCCTCGACATACGAGTTATCCTATAATTGTCAAAATACGCGTCCTCATGTGCCACGTAGGAATAATTCGAGACATACAGTGTACTGTGTGACAAGCACACCTGAACTGACAAGCTTCAGTTCCAATCTTGTGAATTACTAATACCTTCGTAGCTCGACTTGCGCTCATTCGAAAAATCACAGGATGCGTGCGCATGCGTACTATCGTCCTTTGATCCTCGAAATCGGACGAAACCATGTGCTTTCTGTAATAAGTCTGCCTTTGATACGAAACTCGCATATACTCGTACGACATGGCGGGATATAATTTCAAAGATGAAAAGGAGGTTCAGGAATATTTAAAGAATCTTCACGTAGAATATCAATTCGGCTGTTTAAGTGAAAAGAAGCCCGAGGGTAAGGTGAGTCTACTAACGATTCTAACCTCGTCACTGCAACGTTTTACGTTTTCCCGGCAGTGTGTCATCTTTTGGGCGATTATTATGAATCCATCAAGCAAAATTTGAAGGAGGCAATAAAACTGTACAAGAAGAACTGCGACGAGCACAATTATGGGAGAAGTTGCGCGAAATACGGCGATTACAGAATAATGGGTTAGTAAAGATGGCGGGCGCGTCGCATCAGCCAGGGAAATTGAAATACGACTGGGCGATACTTCTTTACGCAATTAACCAACATTCGTTGAAATTGTTATTTGCCGTCTGTTGATTCATAAACTAAATGTTTTACAGGTAGGGAGTGTGAGAAGGATCCCGTGGAAGCGTTCAAGTACATGGAAAAAGGTTGTAACCAGAACGATGGGAGGGGTTGTTTTCATGCAGGTGCTCTTGCGTTGTCTAAAGAAAAAATTGATCCAGTCAGGGGCAATCAAGTTATGCTTGGAGTGAAATATCTGAAAAAAGCTTGCGACATGGAGGTAGAGAAAGCTTGCTTCTATCTATCGGGTGTTTATTTAAATGGTATCGAAGGATATATACCAAAGAATATGAAAGAGGCGTACACTTTATCTTTAAAGTGTTGCGAACTGAATAATCCGTATGCCTGTGCTAATTTGTCCATAATGCACAAGAAGGGTGATGGTGTACAACAAAGTACTGAGTTAGCTCAAACTTTCAAGACCCGAGCTGATGAAATACTGAAAGAACTTAAAGAAAATAAAAAGTCATTGAAGTTTCACCAGGGCATTGAAGTTTGATTTCATTTCAGCCTAGGATTATATTCAGTAGCTATAAAGATCAAATTTTGTAGTAAATATAACAGATCAATTGGATCATCTTTTAAATTTTATGTTCAATTTCATGAGTTTTCATTTTTTTTTATGTATTATCGCCTTGTCTTCAAATTATTTAAAGACTTGGTAACAATCAGTTATCTAATATTGGAATTCATTTACAAATGTAAGTAATGTTTTTTTGATATAAGTTCATCGGTAGCATAAGTTGGCACAAGTTATTTATACCATGTTATAGTGGAATGTGTAACAATTGTTAATAATTAAAAACCGATTGAATAAAAATTTATATCAAAAATTGTGTGTGGTATTTTATGTAACTATGTTTACGTACAATTTTGAGAATAAATTTTGAATACAGTGTCCAACAAAATAAATCGTTGTCGTTCAAAGAAATGTTTCGATCTATTGAATAGAAAACTGTGAATCTTTATACATGCGTCTTATAAGCCAAATGAAACATGAGAAGTAAGCTTAGGGTTTAATTGTCAAAAAGAAATTAAAAAAGATCAGAAATTAATCCTCTAAATTCATTTTTTTTGTAAATGAAAATTCGCCCGATTTATGGACACTGAAATGCTAGCGTCGCGTAGCGGTGAAACGGTGGAACTAAAATCTATCGCTGTCCTTGTCGTAACTTGTTGTTCTCTTTGTCTGGCCTGGAATATAAGTCTGTCCTTGTCATACACTATTAACGCTCTTTGTCTACGGACAAAACAAGTGCTGCCATTTATCGGAGACTGAAGGAACTAAAAAATTACCGACTTCGGTCGACACTGGTGCTGCCATCTAGCGGATTTTTCCAATTTACCCTTTTAGTTCCAGTCGAAAATAGAAGTGCATAGGTGGCAGCACCATCCATAGACAAAGAGCGCAATAGTGTGCAACAAGGACAGAGATAGATTTTAGTTCTACCGTTTCACCGCTACGCGACGCTAGCATTTCAGTGTCCATAAATCGAGCGAATTTTCATTTGCAAAAAAAACGAATTTGAAGGATTAATTTCTGAGCTTTTTTAATTGTTTTTTGACAATTAAACCCTAAGCTTACTTCCTATGTTTCATCTGACTTGTGAAACGCATGTATAAATATTTGCAAAATCTGTTCAATAGTTCGAAATGTTGATCGAAAAAAATTACACGATAACGACAAATTTTTTTTTAATTAAAAGCGAATGTTTATTGATCACAATTAAAAATTATTGGTTTTTTAAATAATTAACCTTTCGGAGGTTACCATTTATTTATAGAATAATGAAGTACAAACAAAGATTATTGAAACAATTGTCGCATTCTTTTTAAAAGAACAATTGTGCATGCACAATGTCGATATTTATTTGTGAAATCCTTAAATAGTATTCTTTTGTTCGAAACATTTGGAATTTCCCAGGTCTTTAAAATGAACTTCTTAAAATTTCCATCGAGTTATCAAGAAAGACTGTCCTGAGTTTCCAGTCATAAATGTTACTCCCGTTTTCCCGATTTCCCACTTAAAGGAATTATCTGCAAGAGAAAGAAAAAGAGAAAACGACTAGCTACACGCATACACTGTCTTTAATAATATAAAATAAACTAATATAATATATAATCTGTCTTTAATAATATAAAATAAACTAATATAAATAAACTAATATAAATAATATATAAATAATCTAATATATCTAAATGTGGATTATTTTCGAGAACAAAAACAACAAATTGCTCGCGACAATTTCCCCTTGATTTAACTCATCTCTATCGATTAAAATTCACTTATACGACATTTAACACTTAACGATACTTTAAAACTCGAGTTAATACATAGAATCTTATCGAATCCTATCTTATTTATTTCGTTTGAAGTTGTATCTCTCACTTTGTATCTTTTATCTTTCAAGTTCTCGATATCTCTTACATTTCTCCATGGGGCTAATTTGAGCACCTCGTTGTTTGAACGCCTCATTTTCGCTTCATATCAAATTTACCCAAGCCTGAACATTCACAAGCGATGCTGCGTGCCCGAAGGATAAAGGATGGGCTCTCGATCGAGGTGAGAATGGCGCAAAAAGGTACGTACACGTTCAGTGTGCGCCTGGGGAACGTTTGAAATGCCATCGAACGTAATATTGATTGTTCGTCTCTCTTCCCTTCCCTGTCCCTCTCGTTCTTGCTCGTTCCAGCAGCCCCCTTCTACATTTTCGAAGTCTCCCTCCTCGGCATCGGTTCGACCGCCGCTATAGACAAAAGCTGGCTGGTTTAAAGGCTGGTGATCAGTTTCTCGACGTACCAGAGGGACCATGCGGTGCTACCTATTCGCTTCGAGCTCCTTCGTCGCTGCAATACTCACTGTCGCGTTCCTCGGCCACGGTGCCTTGGTGAGTGACAATTTCTCAGTTTCACCTTTTTTTTCAAGGCTCCACATGTCGCTTCGTGTTCCACGTTTACGTACGCGCGATAAAAGGCCTCGAGTACTTTGAAAATTACGGGCGAAATATCATCCGATCATTTCAAACTGGAATCTCTGTACATTTTTTTTTTTTTTTTTGTATTCTACACGATATAAGAATATGAGACAATTGCCAACGTGTTACGATTTTCGTGAAGTAGAATCTCCCGGGTATTTTCGTTTAGGAAGCATGGAATTTATGTTCGCGTTTGTATTTAGAAGGCAGAAGGATTTATTTTTGTAATTTTGTTAACATTGATCGCGACGCTATGCACAAATAAACCTAGATCATGCTTTAACGACAGCTGCGTAAATTAAGAAGAAACTTTCTTTCCTACGTTCGTCCGGTATTTCTTTTCCGCTTTTCACTTTCTAGTTTTTCGTGTTTTTCAATCAGCGAGTTTTCACATTTTAAAAATATCTATGACAGAGCCAAATGAACGGCTCGAGATGATTTCTTTCAAGCGTCGTAGCGGTAGATAAGATACGATAGATGAAAGATAATCGTGTTTACAATTTTCGTATCGTGCACTCCGTCGTGTCGGTCAAGAAAAAAAAAATTGTAAAATTTAATCTAAAATTGTTATTACATGTCACTCTAATGACTATATCATGCAGATAAAGAATCAAGATGGGAGCCGGTTTCCAACAGGTTCTCTTTTATTCACGTGTCTCACATTGAAACCTGTTTATCCGATATTCACGATGAATGCTGCCTCTTTGTTTCAAAGGCTGCGAGAGATTATTATTATTATTATTACATTTATAAAAATATTCGTTGAAATACTAAATCAATCGAATTTCATTTTTGCATCAACTGGCAATCCACTAACAATTTGTGCCAACTTTCAAATTATATATAAATTATTATCGAAGGATTTCAATAGGTATATATCACGGCTACACACTTGTGTTAAAAAAGAAAATCTCAGTCTGACAATAATTCGAGAATTGTCTCAAACCGACGTATGGCAAAAATACAATGCTTTACGATTGTAAACGTAGCATAATTACTAATTATTGTACCTCCAGTATCGACTCATGGTCATTCCACTATAATTGTACAGGTGGCCGGCAACGAGTCGCATGCAGTGGTAAATGTGGCAGTTTATTACGAATCGCTATGCTCGGATAGCATGCGGTGGATTAAGCAGCAACTATTGCCGGAGTACGATGTATTGAAAGATTACATCAGCGTCACTTTCATTCCCTATGGGAAAGCATCGGTGAGTCATAGTTTGCGTTACAACTTCCTCTCTCGTTTACTACATTATCTTTTTACAACTCTCTTCTCTTCAACACTGTGTCGCTCATGGTGACATTATCTTGACACCAAATTCAAGCTTGGATGGAAATCGAACTAATCTCTCTTTTTGCAATAATTCTTGGGTATCGATAATTAGGTGAATGCGTGCTGAGACATGGAAATGGAAATACTAATTTACCATCGATTTCAACGACAAAGAGTAAGAGTACTGTCTGTTTCAATTGTCTCGTAATTATACGCTCAAACAGTTGCAAAACTTTAGTTATATCTGTGTGATTATTTCTGATAATCCATCGTGTTGATAATCCAACGTGAGAGAAATTTCAAGAACATTAAAAGAGATCCTCTAATTTTGAGTGCCACGCTCAAGAAGAGAAATTAGTGCAATGATACGAAATTTTTGATTCTGTATAAATAAAGTGTCTCTATATTATTTTTTGTATTATACAAATTAACTCATACGTCATATGTTTTGTTATTTAAATAAACAGCACTGGAAAGATTCAAACACCCAGAAATGGCGGTTCACGTGCCAGCACGGCGAAGAAGAATGCAACGGGAACAAAGCTCAGGCGTGTGCTATCAACGCGATTCAGAATGGAGAAGCAGCTGATAAGGTTCAACAACTCACTGTGGCATTGGTTGGTTGCGCAATGACCTCACGGTTTCCGCCATCATCTGTTCCGCAGGTAATTGATCTTTTCTGCTTGGCGAACCAACTGACGACACAACATCCATGATTCTCTAATAATTTCATACCACGGAATCGCAAGGCGCGCCATCCTTTCGAAATTTAAGATTTAACCGAACAGCCTGTGCGTCTCATAATTATAAAATTATAAAAATCAAGTGTCCATTCGCGGAAATTTCATCGGAATAAGAGCAAAATTGGAATTTGAATGTTCCAAGAATCGCAGCAGGATCGAAATTTATGAATCGAATGATCTTTTAGTGCGCCAAGAAAGTAGGATTGAAGGAGCAGACCCAAACGAACATTGACGAATGCATTAACGGTCCCCTGTCCAACGAACTGTTGGTCGCACACGGCGAGAAAACGAACAAGTTAAATCCGAGCCTCTCCTTCGTTCCAACGATCACGATCAATGGAGTGAGTACTCGGCATTGCAAGCACGTTTTGTCTCTAAAAGAGTTCAATTAACAATGAATCATGGTTTAATCATCGTTCGTTCAATCCGTCTGTTGCAGGAGAATACAAGGCAGATACAGAACCAGGCGCTGAACAATTTCTTTAAACTAGTTTGCGACACACTGGGAAAGGGGGCGAAACCGTCTCAGTGCAGCGCAGCTTGAAGACAAACGGCTGTTTCAAACGTTTCGCCGCTTTAGTGCTTTTTGTACGAAGCTGCAGCGTGTCGTCGTTATACAATTCGCGCGAGGGGCCACTATAGTAGGTTAACGAAATCAATATCGGAAAGGAGAAGGCGATTCTTCTCGAGAAGCTTCTTCGTTCAGATTGGTCGTTGTCAGGAAAAATTGAAACCACCTTGCAATTGTACAAGCTTCTTTTCACCAGCAAAGTCATTGAACGTCAATTCTCTGAATTCAAGTAATAGAAGATGAGTTAATCCAAACGAACGAGGCTTGAATTGCAAACTCAAGAACCCGTAAACTTTCCACAAAAGTCTTACATAAACACTTTGTATGTACCACTATAGTGAGTTATCTCGTTAAGGATATGCAACGATTTGTGAAAAAAATTGCCTATTTGAATGTACCTATGCATGTAAGAAAAGAATAAAAATTATTGTTGATACGATAGCGATAAAAATTCTCTCGAAATCTCTCATACGAAGAAGAGGTATAGAATGTATCGAGGATAACCATGGAACCCTAATAATCAAAACCATGTATTTAATGATAATATATACAAATCGGCTATGTACAAAAATATACCTATCAATTAAATCTATCTAGCTGAGCGAAAAAGCGTATAAAAATCGAGTACAAAATATAATGGAAACAAGTCTTTGGAAATATGGCGTTCGCCAACGGAGCCTCCTCCAATCCTCCACCCTTAAATGTTCTTCTCAACCGTCGATAAAAACCGCGTCATCGAGGCTGCTTAACTCGAGAAATTGTTGCTCAATGTCCGAACTGAGATCTTGGAAGTCGGGGACCTCGTCCTCAACCTGGTACCCTGCAAGAGTAGAGAACAGAATGGATTACTGATATGGTCAGACATTCCAGTTTCGTGTCTCGATCGCACAGCACAGATATTGGCAAAAAGATCTAGATAAAACATCGACATTTCTCTCCAATAGATTTATCTTTGTTCACCGATGAACAAAGTGCTAAACTTGCGTCAAAGGAATCAAGATGAATCAGAGAGTAGGAAAAGCTTTTAAATAGTCAAGAATAGAAAATTTCGAGAAGAAATTATTCGAATCTCTAAAAGTTATAATATATATAAGGAAGGCTAAATGAAGGAATATTCTATTATTTTATGAAATTATTGAAATGTATTCTAGTTTGTTTTGAAATAAGTGAAATTTCTTCTCTTCGTTATAGGGGTTCAACTTGCGGCCCACTCTCGGCTCTATCGTTATTAAACGCTGGAACGAACGGTTTTAAAAAGGGGTGTAGTGGGGGGGGGGGGATCGATGAATGTGGATGTATTATTTGGTAGAAAATCGCGGGCTCGCGGGCTCGGGGGCTGGAATTTAAAAAGGCACGCGTGTGTCGCACGTGGCAGCCGCGTCGTCTGTTTTGGCGCGTGCGTTACGTGCGTGTGCTGCCGGCCAAAAAAGTCGGGAATATTATTTTAAGACTCGGTGTGGGGTAAACGCGTAAAGCGTGTTTGAACCTCCTCTGAGATTAAGCATGGTGGAAGCGAAACGCGCACCATGTCATCAGCGTCGTTACCATTTATCGGGATAGAAAAAGGCAGCACGCGCGGACCAGTACAATAAAGATTCGTACGTGTTGCACGAACAACGACAAGCACGGCTTTTTGTTCGAAACGGTAGCGCTCGTGTCGTTTTTACTGCACGTTCTCGGAATTTTTCTCGAGCTTCAGGTCCATTTACTTCTAATATCGTGAAAAAAGATTCCTTGATAAGACGTTCTTCAGCGAGGAATGTTAAGACCGTAACGTAAGAAATTCGTTAGAAACGGAAAAATATAATTCTAATAAACTGATTGAGAATAATCGTCCTTCTCCTAGTAAATTTTCTATTGATTCCGTTAATGAGTCAAAGCTGGCTGATCTCTTTGGCAATGATCGCGAATTTTTTTCTTTTCCTTACCTGTGCCGCCGACATCGTCGATGAGAAAGCGTTTCACAGACTCAAACGGGACGAACTCTTGATTGCTGTCAAGGTTCATGGAAATCCTATCGACCTGACACAGATTCGTTTGGAACAGATCCGCGTCCTCGTCCGCGTAAGACTCTGAAGTCTTATACGTTCGATAATTTGATTCCGCGTCGTAGACGATTGCCGTTTGCGCTTGTTGTTGCTGTTGCTGCTGCTTCATACTCGTGGAAATCGGATCGTGCCGCGAGTTGCTCGAATTGTTAGTCATGCTACATGGGGCTTTGCTATCCGATGTCAATGACAAGTTGGACAGCGGTGTCGTTGGTTCTGAATGATTCTTCACGTGTTTCCTGAGGCTGGACGGGTCTGTGTATCTCTTCCCGCATCCACTCACTTGACACGCGTACGGTTTCTGAAAATTCAAACGAACGAATTTTGTTACAAATACGAAAGTAATGACAGACTTAAAGTAATCTAATTTTAGATCTAATTTTAGATTGTATCCATAAATATTCTGAGTGATTTCACCACGTTGTATGTATGTTCACTGACCTCTCACGCTACAAAATTTCAACATTTCAGCGATAAGCATTTTCCATTTTATCAAGTCTTTAGGTTTATGGCCAAGCAATGTGTTTTACATGGTATTAATTATAAAAGATATTCACGTAATTTTCACGTAAATTTCAAAATATTTCAACGTTACAGTAACCCAAGTTTTGACCACAAGTCACAAATGATGCGTTAAACGGAATTTCCAAATGTTTGTACTGAAGAAAGAGACACGAAAAGAAGCTCAACTGTTTCGATTACGTAAACGCGGAAGGATTGTTACACGAACATAAATTGTTGATCGAGTAATTAACTTTGCGCAATTGTGTGATAATTTTTCTAGTTTGTCTCGCATCGACAGTACCGACAACCCTAACTGAAAATACATTCAACGTGATGATGAAATACCGTTCTTCATTTGCAATTATTAATCTTACATAACATCAAAGCAATTGAAATCAAACGATTCGCCTTTTCTTACTTTAAATGTTCGGTGTCACAGTTCAAAGAGGTTTAAATCCGGGTAAAATACCAAACTTACGGTGTCATAGTGAGTCCTTTGGTGTTTTGCACGATCGCTGCTATTACTGAACGCTTTGGAACAACCACGATGCTGGCAAGCGTATGGTCTTTCTCCCGTATGAGATCTCTGGTGGATCTTCAGGTTTTCCAATCGTGAAAACGCCTTCTTGCATCCAGTGAACTGTAAAAGATGCAAAGAATCGTATTAGCTACAGTGACTTTTAACATTGCAAGATTTAAGAGTGTAAATTATTTAAGAAATTGTAGAATGTTAACGTTAATTAACTCGCACACACCGGACACTTGTTTGGTTTTTCGCCGCTGTGGACTCTCATATGGATCAACAGCTTGTATCTGGCGTTAAAAGGCCGAGCACGCGGACAACCCTGCCAAAGACAAGCGAATTCATCCTGTCCGCTTCCGGAACCAACCTCTCCCTCTTTGTCTTTGTCCTTGTCCCGGTCCCTTTGAACCCGTCTTCCGTGTCCGTGCGCGTTGGACGACGAAGACTCGACGTGTCTTCTCTCAATATGCCGAACCAATCCCTCTTGCTCGGCGAAAGCACAACCACAATCTATCCATCGACACTGATACGTCGATGTCAGGTTGTCTTCTGCTGTCGAACAGTCTGAAACGGAAACAAACGTGTCATCAGCGTGTAAACAGGCCGTAGATCTCGCGACTTGTTAAGGAAGCTACTTGAAACACTTGAGAACGTTAGTCAAGAGTTCTTCGAAGACTGGCTTTTGTGTTTATTTGTGTTTATTTTTAAAATAACCCTTCTGAATATGCCAAGTACATGGAAAAAGACCAACCAATTGTTGGATAGTACACAGTGGTCCGTGAAATTACTTGGATACTTGTAAAAATTTCTCAGAGATACATAAATATAAATATGCTGGCTCACCAAACGATGTGCTTCGTTTTTCCGTATCACTCGCAGGCACTCTTCTATCAGTTAGCAATAATCCTTCGTTCCTGGGCAGAACAACCTGATTCCCAAATCCATCGTTCAATCCGCTATTGTCATTGACAAAGTTGGAGGTCGTGGAGACGGAGGATTGCTGTCCAGAGACCAAGTGTCCAACCGCGTAGCAAGATCCATTCAAATTAGAAAATGGATCTTGAAGCTCTTGCAGATACGTAGACGACGGCGAAGGAGGAGACTCCACGTTGCACAATAACGACGTAGGATCGCCTCTGATTAAACTAAGATCAAACTCATCCGTGGCTGCCTGCATGGAACCGTCGAGTCCTTGGTCCTCCGTCTGATTGTGAAGGATAAAGGGCAAAGACACTGATACGTCGTCCTGATATTCTTGATAGTCTTGATAGTCTTGATACTCTGGATAGACCGTATTGCAAAAGTTCCTTGAGAACGAGAAAGCAGAACCAACGGACGGCAGTCTTTGACCGTTGGAACAGTCCGACGACTCGCTGTGAATAACATTGTTCCAGGTTGGCGTGGTAGCTTCGCTGCCTGTGCTTCCTGGTGACCTGTCCGTGGACGTGTACGGTTGACAAGGATACTGGAAGACGGTCGTGAGTTGTTCCCAGTCTGTGAATTCTCTGGGACTGGAGTTGTTGGGTAAAACGGGAGAGGAAACGCTGTCTGTGTGAGAAGTGACCCAACACGGTTGACTGCTGGTGTTAATGGTTGTAATGGGCGTTAGGTGCAAGCTGTTGAAACCCTCCTGTTTAATGCTTTTGGAAACTGCTCGCTGGACATCTTCCTCGCTTCTGCTCACGTGGTAATCCTCCAGGTGCATCTTGATACAGCCTGAAAGTTCACAAATGAGATTAGTAAATTAATTTTGTAACGAAAGAGAGAGAAAATTAGAATAAATTTGCAAAATTGCGTATGGGACGAGATGCACGAATGGAAAGTTACGGCGGTTGTGAAAACATAAGTCGGGATGTTGCAACGAGTCACGATATGAAGCGATAGTGGGTCGAATAATCGCGAACCGCACGTGAATGAAACAGTGTTGAAGAAATTTTTGGAATCTTTGAATCTCGGGTTGATGTGCAGTAGAATTTATGAATGAAGCGCGAGTCAATCACAGATGAAACACTCGCGAGTTTATGAAATCTTTAATAAAATTCAGTTTGGATTATTTCCAACTATCGTTTATTAATTAGTTTTAATCATTTAACTTTGAACTCTCGACGCTCGTCATAGTATTGATCAGCAATGTTTGGCACGATTAATTTTCTCAGAGATGTACTCTGTACACGCTAGTGACATGATTCTTCTTGCAAATTCAGTGATCATTATTCACGAAAATTAACGAAAATTAAATCACCAACTGACCGACAAAATCACCATGCCGCAGGGAAAAATCAACTTCCACCTAACGAAACTTCCTCACTGTCTCTCACTGTCCACTTACAAGATCCGCTTGACCGATCAAACTCCCCAAACAAACTCCACCGGATATCGACTGCGTGTCGCAGAAAATCTCTTCTTCTCGCAGATCGTCAATGACTGCTCCAACGTGATAAGCTTATCACTTGTCAAGGTCCGCGTGTCACGCGCGCTGACGCGATCTTGATCGCGACGAGGAAGAAGTCAAGCAGTGACAGGGTGGCCGGGTCGAGACGAAATTCTTTAACCCCGAAGATAGCTCGGCTATATCCGTTCCCACGTCTCTACGACGAGTATCAGCCAGGACAAGACATGTTCCAGCGGACGATACGGAGGATCCCCTCCACCCTTGTTTAAGAAGCAAGGAAAGAAGCCTTCGAGAAGGGTACGCGCCGCCCACTCGCGTGGCTGCGCTTCGTTTCCTTCGTGAGCCAAAGAAGAAGAAGAAGAAGAAGAAAAAGAAGAAGAAAAGGAATAGGAGGAGGAGGAGAAGAAGAAGAAAAGTTCCTCCGGCACTTGTGCATCTCTGTGCACTTGCCTCAACCTCATCGGTTTCAGGGTGGCGCGACACATCTGCGTGCGTGACTGTCTGTCTCTTTTCTGGCTGCTGCCCGTTCGAATTTGTCTTCCACAGGACTGTTTTTTTGCCTGTTCTGAAATTCTCAAAACGATTATGCCCAATGAATTGTTTCGAGGCTGACGAACTGCTACTAGATTGCATCATTTGTTTCCGACTTTCGTGATGTCCGATGGGGATCCTTTTGGTTAGTTGAAGAAGATCGATATGTATTGGTTTTATGATTGGAGAAGGGCATCGAAGGGCGTGGGATTATTGCTGGAAGATATTGCGTGAAATAAAATAGTGATGGATGAGACTGTGAAAGAGAATCGGAATTGCGGTTTGAAAGTAAAAATTTTTGAAACTAAAAAGTGTAGATTTACTTACGTTACCACATACACAAAACAAACAAAAACCTAACACCACAAGTGATTTATTTTACCACATTTTTTTTTTTTTTAATCTCTTTTTAAGCACCCTTAAAAGAATCTGCTTGAACAAACAATTTGTACACATATACAACTCCAAGTTGTTCAAAGTGCAAAATTCATTTTCATCCGGTCATTGACGTCGCGTGGCGATCGGCATCTCTTTGAAAAATCTGTTGAGGAATATTCCAAGTCGAGGTGCATCGGGACACAGACAAGAGATAGAAACAGAGAAAGTACCGAGAGAGAGAGAGAGAGAGAGGGTGCTTCGGCCAATCTTTCGTCGCTCGAACCCCGAGAATCGGGTGCAAGGCAAAAAACGTAAAACCAGCTGCCGCACACGCGTCACTTATTAACAACAGCTTCTTCGCTCGCACACATGAGAGCAAGTTGTTCACTCCTATTACAGCCTACTATTATTTCTCCGACCTTCCCAATCTCTCCTCCTCCTCGTCGGATTGCATATCGTTCTTTCGCGTAAATACGCCTGATATCGTTCTTCATTGAGTATTACGTAGTCAGCATTTTAAATATCTCAGGACAACTGCCATTAGCGATTGAGGATTAATGAGGTGGATTAATTTGGAGTGTTGGATACTCAGTTGCATCAGGCTTTATGCTTCTGAAATTATACGGATTATGTCAGTTATGAGTTATGTTTAAGAATGTAAGGAAATACGAGGAAATTGAATACTGGACACTTTCATTTCTTTCGAGATGTATTTACAATTAACATTTAAATATAAAATTAAAAATGGAAGGCAATGTACAAGTTCATAAATGTTATATTATTCTTAATAGTCCTCAAAGTGATAGTGGTAAATTCTTTTCCAAAAATGTTCCATTTATCATATGCTTTGCAAGTATCACCAATCACATTAATAATTCACAAGAAAATGTTAAAATAATACGTAGAATATTAGGTAGAAAAAAAAGGTAGAGACTGGAAAGATCATGTTCAGTTCATTGACTGGCCAATCCAAAATACATTGTTATGATTCCATAGCGGTTCTCGCGACACCATGATCCTCGAAAGTCGGGTGCCCTGTGTTTTTTTCCAAGCAAACGCACACAGACGCATCTCCGTGCATCCTCCTACTCACCCCTAATATACACACGTTGCATTCACGTATATACGAACTGAAGTACATACACGCGTTTACACGCATGCGTTCACAGTTGCATCTTATGGTCGGGTTATACGTCATATTACGGGTAGATAAGTGATAGAGTGGCACATGTGGCCTGCCAGCCCTCTATGCTTACATTATACGTACTATGCTCGCTCTCGACCACGCTTTTTTGTCCAGGCACCTGTCAACTCCGTTCGTACCATAGTCACCGCATGTGTACGACTGCCATTAAAATAAATATACTGGAAAAAGGATTTCGATCGTACACCCCATACGGATGCAATAACGGAGAAAGAATGAAGAAGGAAAAAAGAAAAACGAACGTTTAATCGAAGAGAGTTCTTTCCCCCCATGGTTTTTTTTACAAGACTTACTGTTCATAAATATCCACTGCTAATCATGTCTGATTTTTAATTTTATTTCATGGAAATATTAACCATTGAAATAAATAATGGATCAGCAGAAAGTATAAAGATAACGAACGATAATGAAAACTCGATAACGTTGACTAGTGTCAGTCGTTTTTAAAAACAAAACACAGCAATGTAAGTCAAGTAGCACAAATAAAATGACAAGGCAAAATGATAAAGTGCGTTCGAGAAACTTATATTTAGAATGACAGGGTTTCTAAAACGATGGAAGTGGCGGTTAATTTGTAGCGGTGCATAGAGAGTGTATAGGAAATAGTGCGAGCGCATCACATACGTGTCGACTTTCAGCATTCGGTCAAGCGACGTAAAAATAGAAAGACGTGCGCTCTGCATGTGACTTCGTATAATTAGGTACCGAACCCGAGAACCATCGTGTTGTATATCCCATACGTTAGGAAACTAGCATATTAGAGCTTGACACGAGATCCAACAATGTTTTTTTTTTTTCTCTGAGCATGCTGACGAATCGGTTATGATATATTACATAATTTCGGAACTAACGGGACGTGATATAGTATTCGAAAACATCGTGCTCCATACAAATGATTTATTGCTCTTTTATATTCGATTTAACAAAAATATTTAGACCTATGTTAATAATAAACGAAATAATTAAAAATAAAATTTTCATAGTTCTTGCCCGAAAATCAAACAATCAATATTATTAATAAATGGCAGTCAAATCAAAATTGTACGTATCGTGTCTTGACGGCAATGAATACGATAAAAGCGAGGTACTCGTGTTCACAGCAGGAACAATTTCTTTTTCAATTATTGGAAAATGTTGAATACGACCACTGCTCCATGCAATTGTTAAACAAACCAAATTGCCTAATTCTTTCTGACATTTCTGATAGAAATCTATGCAATTAGGAACTTCCCCCGAGAATCCTTTAATAAAACAACCTGGTTTAATGTCAATCACACGCGACAAATTTCCTAGTTTGGTTTTAACCAATGCGATGTATGGACTGTCCTAGTTAATCAATAAATTTATTATTAGATTTTGTGAGCTGATATTGTTGATACGTTTTCAATTAAATTACCACAAGAAACATACCTGGAAGAGAATAGCGAGATATCTCCCTGTAGGATCCCACTTCATTGCAGTTACTCTTCCGCCGACAGTAACATAATTATCATCCAAGAAGTTAACCTTTGTTAAGTCTATTAAAGGTACGGCCATTTTTACATCGTCGAGAGAAAGCTTTTTAACATCGAAAATATTTTCTTGCAGTGGTAAAAAAAAGATCTTGCCAGGATTTTCGTCTGTTGCAAATAACAGAGTCAAATTTGGACCAAAACATGCAACAGCCACACGACCAATAGGCACTGTCCATTTGTCTGCATGCCACAAGGTTGCTACTCCCGTGTTCCAAACTCTATATGTAATTATTAACATATTAAATTTCATGTAAAATGAAAGAAGATAAAATAATAATGTAGTATACCTAAATATATTCCTACATGTGGCTGAAAACAATCGAGAACCGCAAGGTGACCAACATGCAAAACATAAGCCATCACCACCAACTCGTCTTAAAGGAACAGATTCTTTTTTAGAAGTATCCCAAATAAGCATGCGCGTATCCGTTGGTGAACATGATACCAACAGATCACCCTGTGGATGCCATACAACACTTGTTACAGGAGCATGATTTCTTTGTTTTAATAACACTGCATGACTAAGAAAATTACTGGCTGCTCCTAGTTCTATTGTCCAAATTAAGACACCCGCGTGACATGCTACTGCCAGTTCTTTGCCAGCAAGTGGTCTCCAAGTTATACAACAAACAGATTTTTGAGCACTGTGCTTTAAAATTGGTATTATTGGTATTTCCTGAGAAAAAATCCGTATACGATCATCTCTTGTGGTTACTGCCAGTCTTGCACAATGTGGATGCCAAGAGATACATCTGATCTACAAATTGACATTAAAATTATAACATGTTAAAAAAGAAAGAAATCAACAACACTTATGTTAACAGTTTACCAAAGATGTTTCCCAATCTCTTGTGTGAACAATATCCGCAATTGAACCAAATCCAAAAGTAGGCAAGGTTTCTCTCTGATATATTCCTCTATCTATTAAATCCAAAATCCACTTGAGTCTAGAATGAGAATTATGAAAAGTTAGATTTCAAAATTAAATAAATATTTTTATACCAACTATTAATGATACCTTGTAGCTATCCAATGCAAGACTGGCGTAACTTCTTGGGGTTCGCTGGATGCAGCCACACAAATAGCTTCAACTAATCCTCTTTCCCTGCATATACTAGCAAGTTTTTTAAAAATGCTGTTTTGGACTGGTAAAAATAAGTCTCCAGTACAAAAAGCATGCGATGTATCACGTGTAGCAAGAATATCAGAAGTAATGTCAACTTCTGGATAATCTCGCAGATATTTTGAAAAGGGTTGTAATTCATCTGTCAAGTTCTCATAGTCACAACAATGTACAACATCTTCTATAAGTGCAACAGTAGCCAAATTATCATCAGAAGGAGTATCAAATTCATGCAACGAAAATATTTTCATCATGATTGTACGTTTCACTGTATTTTTCTAACCTATAAAAGTAAGATGTCACAGAATAAAATTCTATTACACGTGCATCTATATGCAGCTAAGAAGCGTAACATAATCGTAATGTAATTAGTTTCACAGAAAAATTAAAGATAATCATTGAGACGAATGGATTTTTAAAAAAAAGTCTGAAAATATATCGAGAAAAAAAAGTCATATACCTCTCTACATCTGAAGCCGGATAAAATGACGGACGAAAGTTTACATCGGTTGCCATGGCAACATCCAATCGCGTCACAGAATCGCAATGCTACTGCGCATGTGGCAATTGGCTTTCGTTCAAAACGTTTCAGTTGCGAAGAGAAACTTTTAGTCGGCATTGCTACTAAAAATTCGCATGACATCTGTACGTGTACGCATTCACGTGTCACCGTTTAATCCAGAAATGGCGCGAGCACAAATTTCTTGCGGAGAAATCGTTTCGAATCGCGGAAATACGACTAGAAATTGAACACGCAGCGGGATATGTCGAACATGACACGGTCTCGGAGGTAGGGGCTCGAAAGTAGCAGGGTGGGGACCAAAAGGGAGGGGTGAGGTGGGGACAGCAGTATGCGGTCGCTATTCGTGCGGCGCGGATTACGTATTAGAGTTGTCTTCTGCTACGGACAGGCCTCGTTTGTTGGTTCGGTTCGTTCCAAGGTTTTTTTTCTCTCAATAAGACTAGCAACGCGAGCACACTGGTCGGTGGACAGTTGGTAAAATGCTACCGCGAAGGTAGTGGCAAGATCAATCGCGATCAACATGGTTTTGGTGGAGCTGTCGTTCTAGAAAGTTGGCCGAGATCGCTGGGGAGACGAGAGACAGAAGGGAGGAGGGCCAGCTCGGTCTTCGCGAGAGATGGGCAAGAAGGGTTCTAAGCGGAAAACTCGATGGAGAACTCTCAGCATTGGTAGTGAGTGTTTCCTTATCAATGAAATTTATTGCGAGACACGCGAACGCCGTCGTTCTCCGTGTCTCTGAAGTTGTGCATGCTTTCGAAACCTCCGAGTACATCTCGTGGTCGCATGTTCCCAGTCTAATATCATTGATCTATTACCAAATGTTGCCACCGCGACTGGTTCGTAGAAATTTATCATAGAACGCACCCCGCTACGTGTGAACAACTATTTCCCGAGCTGTGTGATATCGAACGTGCGCACGTCCTGGTGGTCACCATCGTGGCCGTGACTCTCGATCCGTTCGTATACCACTCTCTGTATAATCTCGAGTCATCTTCGAGATGATTGTGAAACGAAACGATTCGGCAAACGCTTTTTTAACTACCACGATATTACGACGTTGTGCCGCGACACGTCGTTTTCTTTGCCCGGCAACGGACGAAAAAGAAAGAAAGAAAAAAAAAAAACGCGTTCCGTCATGATAAACAAGGGCACGGGACGGTAGTCGCGTAGATGAACGAGGTTACTGCGAGTTTGTCTCATCCGGTGACAGCGCGCGCGATATTAGCGAGCGAATTTCACCGTATTCTGTCCGGGATAGTTTCCCAGCCAGACATCGATCCGTGGCACCCTCCATGACTTTCCTCCTTCGTGGAAATATGTCTAACTAAAGCAACCTGCTCTACACGCAACCTGACGATACGTCGATTCTGATTTCTCGTGTGTTGAACTTCTCTCTTTCTCGATTGTCCCGAAGGTGTATCTCTGTCGTCGTTGACCTGTTCTAATATACGCTGTCTCCATCTATACCCAGCGCCGTGTGATATGTCCAGTGTGTAAACTCTAGTGCAAAAACTTGGTACGCTATTTTGTCTGTCAATGCATCGCTATGCTCTTTTATGACCTCTGGTCTCCGGACTCTATTCTCCGGGAAAGACTTCCGCGTTTGTTGCCGCCGTGTGTGTTTCGAACACTCCCGATGATACGAGGTGCGTTCTATCTTTGGGCCCACCGAGGAGGCCTTGTCCTCGAGCACTGAAATCTGCACACGATGCACAGATATCGCGGGAGAATGCGTCACGAGAATGTCACGGACAATGCAAGATAGAGAACTGATGGAGAAAGATGCGAAGAAGTCAGATCGGTTGAGTAGATTCGTACTAACCGCGTGTCAAAGATGGTGGTATCCGGTGCCGTGAGTGTACAGGATGTTACCAGAAGGTGAAAGAAAGTCATGCGTTCCACTCAACTCCCTTCTCTTGTGCAAATAAATATACATATTTCGTTATAACTAGCAATGTGAGTATCTTCGTATTGTAAACGTCGTTGTCGTTGAAATTTATTTTCACGTGCGCTTGTTCAATTGTTCGTTTGTAAATTCTTCACCGTAATTTCGCTTCTAAACACCGGTTTATTTCGTTGATAGTCTTAGTTGTAGTAAAATGTATTTATTTTGATGTCCGTTTTTCATCCACGGCCCAACGTCAAGTGACACGTAACACGTACGCAAACGTGGTAATTTAAAACAACAATAACAATTACAATCGACAATTGCCATATTTCCATTTTATCTTCCATTTTTCCAGAACGTTGTTAATAAATACATCTTGTTTCACTTCGTGCGTTTATCAGCCCAGTCCGCGTTATCTTCACCCGATAAGGTTATGTTATGAGGGTTTACGCTTGACAGTTAGATGGTTCCGTGTATTAGCTAAGAAATTTTCTTCCTTCACCCTGTGGTCGCTTTCGACGTCCATTAAAACCATTTACTCACTAATTCTTTAATACTTTTCACTGCAAAAAAGAAAAAAGATACATTCATTATTCGTTTCATTGCTATTCTCTCTCGCAACTTGAAAATTCACGTAAATATTATCAGTTTACTGGAAAACTGATCAGCTTGTTCCTATAAAATTAATTTTTTTTCATTTCAATTATCTTCAACGCTCTGTTTATGTGAATATTCGAATTCGACGAACAATGCTCATCGATTTAAAATGAAAATTCTCATCAGATAATTGATGTTTCACGAAAGTATAAACATAGGTGGAGCGTTGGTACGCAACGTGAATCGCGTGTCAAATGTGTATGCAATCATCTAATGCTCAGATAGTCTTTCGAATACGATCCTGAAAACTCTGGCTCTGTGAAAACGTTTCGCCCGTTCAAATGTGGCTCAGTACCAGTACTCAGTTTGTATGATATCTCCGTGTAGTTTTTCCACTTTCCGCGAACGAAGTGGAACGAACTGAATATTTTTTTTCTCGCGGCTTCGCGTTCATGCTGGCGGTAATTTATTTTCGAAGTTGCGTAACAGATCTCTTGTTCGTCGATGCAAGATAGGAAGAAGTTGCGTGTACACATAGATGTGCCTGTGAAAAGAAGAGGGTTTTTGCACTTTGGATACGTTACGTTTGGATTTGTCGAAAAAGATATATTCGATATTTCGGCTTCAACTCTATTTGCTTAAGATCTTTAGTTATCTTTGGCGTTCATATTTGTTCCGATTAAAATATTACCAAAATCAGTTATTAAACCGATGGATAATTTTATGTGTTGCGTGCGAGATTCGAGATATTTGGGTGCATGCGCGTTTCGCCGCCGCAAACGTGTATTAAATAACATGGGTGAAACGATTGGAAAATTGACGCCGCGTTTTTCGTTTTGCCAATCGCGGAAAAATGCAGGAGTTCGCGTTCTTGCTTGGAAGAAGATCTCTACGCGGATTCACATTTGCTCGAAAGGTCAGAGAATCTCGTAGGTAAAAAGTATTACGTCACAAGGCAGTTTTTACGATGGCTCGATACTCATTAGCTTCCTGCAATTCGTCGTTATCATTTTAAATAGCCAATAGTCTTTCTTAAAGTGAGTTTGAAATTAAAATTAAAATGTTATCTGCTATCTAGAAATATGCATTATGTAAATTTATTTCATTCGATTCGATGCATGTTTATGTAAATTTATTTCATTCGATTCAATGTTTGCGTCAGTTTAGTTGCGCGGTGTATAGAGAAAATACACTGAAATCTTTTTGAAGGGTTCTGAAAGAAACATTGTACGCATCTTCTTTTTTATGGAATCGATTCCATACCAACGAGCGTGTAAGAAATAATTACAAAATCGACGTGTGTATATTCAAAGGTGTTGCGATTCGTCCGAATCGTCGATCATCGTTTGTCATAAGGCTACAGCCTTATCTCTTCCAGGAACCGTGGTCCTTGATGTGTGTTTATACCTCTCTTACCACGTCGATTCCATACACTACCGAATTTTTTTACAAGCGCTTTGTTTGTGTATATTAACATTAGAGAACGCGCAGCCGTGGTATGAATATTTCACGTAGAACGTAAATGTATGTGCTTCGAATTCTCTGATAAATCACATGAATTTTCTTTTGCGAGTCGATATATAAGTATTGGCTATATTTGGAAAATATTTAGCAGAAAATAGGAAGAATATTTTATAAACACAATTGGGTCAAGGGTGAGCGAAAATTCGCACAAATTTACGGGCCGAGGGTCAAAGGCGCTTTTCCACTTCTCGACCTTGGCAATAGTGGATGTACGCGAATTTTGTCATCACACACTGTCGCGTGCTTGATCGAGTTTAGACAATTGCGATCCCAATGATGCGAGACAATATCGGGGGAATTATAATCCTCCTCGAGAATTTGCGTTTTCGAGAGAGGTATCCCATTCATATCCGATTCATTGCGCTGTTCGAGGTGTTTCACGCAACTGGAGATATAACTCATTGTCAGTAGAAGATATTCATAAGTTAAGATCAAATGTACCTGTAACTCTCGTTAATAAACAGTGCCACGTATTATCATTAATGTTTATTTAAATAACTATTCAACCTTGTCGTTTCTCTGTATTTGGAGAAGTTGATGAAAACTTAAGAAATTAAATCTAACGTTGCAAAATCAAAGAAACCTGAAGTTTTATTTTCCTTCATTCGATTTAGAATATTTAGTCATTAATGAGCAACGAGTGCATGTCTCGAACGTATTTCGAGAGATACAAAATTCCAGATAGAATTAGGCAATATAGTTTAGGCCGGTTGCTTGAAACATTCTATAATCTTGATAGTGTGTGTGTTCCTGGAAACTGTTTCGTATTTTGTTTGTCGTTTTCGTTTCTTTCATCGAAAACAAGAGACTGTTTCGTGGTTCCTTGCGGGCTAACAGCAGAAAAGTTTTCAAATTGTTTCTATATTTTCATCATGGATCGCCTATACTCCGTTTTTATTTTCATTTATTACTTTGTTTCCCCATGAACCGGACAGGGAAACGATTCATCTCAATTCTATGAATCATCCTGCATAGCACAGCATAATAGTTGTCACGTTA